ATTGGAGATGTGGGGTTAGGGGTTCGGGGGTTCCGTTTTGTTTTGGGCGTTCCATGGCTGAGTGTTGAGGGTGTAGCGTGTTTCAGATGCAGATCTGCAGGATATCATTTTGTGTTGCAAGGTTTTGTGGTCGTCCATGCTATTGCACATATACTTTTGAAGTATAGTCGTACGTCAAGATTGTAAGCTTTTGACGTCCAGGCGAATATAGCGTTGCAGTTTCAGAGTGGAAGACGTGTCAGCACTCCGTATGAAGCACGAAGTATTGGAATCAGGTCAGGACTTGACCCTGCTAGTTGCCCTGGTCTTCCGGCGTACAGGCCCAGGTTCCATCATACCGCCAATGTCCAAACCTAAACACCCTAAACCCTAAACCGCAAAGGTGTAGGCTTTGGAGTTTGGGGTTTCAGAGATCTGAATCCGAAAGCTGCCCCTTTCATTCCTTGCCGATCCCTGCGCATCGTATACCTAAACCATACAATACTAATACTCATATTATTAATGTGTACTAACTAAGACTAGCACGTATGCTCATATATCTTCATATGATCACAAATACAGATTCTGACACCAATAGTAGCACTAATAGTAATATTCACACTACTAATACTAGTACTAGTACGACTGCTAATACTAATACTTGTATACATACTCTTACAAATACTAGTGCCAGTACACATTGTCATACTCATACTGATATTCATACTCATACTAATGCTGTGCTATTGTACAACACCGGATTGTACTATGCTATGTCACAATGTCGTACTGTGCCATGCTATACCATACGGTACTATGTTATACCATGCTATACTCGACCAGACTAGTCCAGACCAGACCATACAACGATACTACACTACTATATTGTACTATGTTATATACTATACATGCTGCTTATGCTGTATGTACTACATACACTGTAAAACAATACATATTCTATAGCTTCGCTGTACATACTAGGTGTACCATATGGACTATATGTAAATTATGTGCTATCTGTACTATATGGACTATATGGACTATATGTGCCATATATATATATATATACACATATGTATACACTGTACATACTATATGCTGTATACTGTATACGGTATAATATATTCTATACAAAGCCATCGCAGAGGCGGAGCGAAACAGGCAGTTTGCGCCGCCCACAGGCGTCCCTGGTGTTTCGATGCTCGGGGGTGAATTTTTTTTGGGGGGGTTCTGAAGCAGGATGCATCTGCAGACATGCACCCACACATTTTTGCTACCGGGACATGCCTCGTTTCGGACACAGTCGGTTCTTCGTTTTCCTCGCCTGTTGGGTGAATGTGCGGGAGGGTGGATGGCCACTAGGTGCGGATCGGCAAGCCTTCCTTAGCTACCCCTAAAATTAAGATTCCGCATGGGTCTTTGGGATGCATCTCTTGCAGACTCTAGCGTCCTTTTAAAGCATTCCTTACGACTACTGACGGTATCAGAACACACGCCCAAAAACCTATTTCAACTCTTGAAGGCCCCGATGTTGCATAGTACGTGCTGAGGGCCACGACAGGGTTCCCAGCTGCTTTCGAGTTTTGATCGTCTGGTACAGCAGCACAGGGCAAACAGCCCTAAACCGTCCTGAACCCCTATGGTCTCGTGTCGGGTTAGGATTTCGTTCTAGCTGTCTTTAGGGTTTGAGGGTCGCCTTTTTGGAGCGGTGGCTGCCATTAGCCTGGGCACTGGAGGCTGGACCATTGGCAAGTGCACCGCACGGCTCAGCACAAGCTCGATCAAATAGGTGTGATCCACTCTATCCCTTTAAGCCTGAAACCCTAAGGTGGAAGCACCCGTCGTATATAGCAGTTTATCAAAACAGGCAACGCCTAGCATAAACCCCGAGTAATGGCAGCCCTGTTGAAAAGCGTGGCTTCAGGTGGGCCCAGCCCCGAAGCATGACTCAGAAGCGGACTCACGCACAAATGTTTGCCCCGATCTCTCTGCGATGACGAGCAAACCCGACCAACTGGCACCGCCACTGGGGCACAGTTTGGAAGGTTTGGGATGTATTAGGTCTGTTGTTGGACGTTCACGGGGTTTGGAAGTTAGGGGCTTGATTAATTTCCGACGCGGTTCCTTAGGCTTCCTGTCATATCTGTACTCTATACTACAAAAAATCTACCCCATATCAAAACCCAATTCTTACGTTAAGGCCCCCAGGTTTTGTACTATTCCAAGTTGGGGCACTCCCTCGCTAGGCTTGGGTCTTAGTATATGTAAATAGATCTTACGTCTCGGCCGCAAGCTCTGTATCATATCGCGGAGGGAGCAGGGCAGATAGAGGAACGACAGGGTGGTGCCCTATGTCTTCCGATTGAAAAGCCGTAAACCCTAAGCCCTAAAGCCTTGAATCCCTCAACACCAAACCGACATTTATCCCGTCACATCGGCCCTGAACCTCCAAAATGTCTGCTCCCCAAACCTTAAGCCTGAAGACTCTCATTCACGGGCGCACACACACACACACATACATGTACACGGACATATACATACACACATAAATAAATAAATATAAATATAAACATATATATATATATATATATATATATATATATATATATGTGTATACATATATATATATATATACACATGTATCACCATACGTATTCATATGTGTGCGTATAGTTGTATATATATATATACACACACACACATGCAAGTCAACAAAAACTAAGCTTCACTGAGCTTCTCGGGCTTTGTGCAAGACTAGCGGGCGCGGTTGAAAATCCTATACTCACTGGGCATTGTTCAAACCAGCCTAGGTCTTGGCACAATCCGATGACTTGGAGGATTAGGGTTTAGTTTAGCTTTCGTGCTTATGCAGAATCAGATTCTTAGTAAAGGAACGCGGTGCTAAGATAACTTCCTCTGAAACCCAGGTTTCGGTACACGGCCCTGCGTTATATTGGGTTCCGGCTGCTGTAGGTAGGCTGTAGGGTTACGGCCTGCTAAAGCGCTACTGTAGGGGCCTTAATAATTACCTATACTATTCCAGGGTTCCAGATTATAATTCCTAAACCCTAAACCCTAATCTCAGGCCCAAGCAGCTGGGCGACGCCACCCTCGTGCCGGACCCCGTCTCGAGCCAGCTCGAGCTGCTGTTGCGGCAGCAGGACCCAATGGGTTAAGGGTTTAGAGTTAAGTCTTAGGGTATAGGGTTTAGGGTTTAGAGGGATCGTATAGCCTCCTTGTTCGCCTCACTCTTATCAGTCTTAACGGTTGAAATAAGTAGTATTATATATTCCGCACTAGTTGGTATTATTATCGTTATTCCTATTATTGTCATTCATACCAAGCCCTTTAATGCTAGTGTGTTCAAGAGTCTAAGTTCGCCCTATGCCCGAAATGCCGACCAAGAGCCCCACATCCTAGACCGCACCAGGAGCAGCGCTTGAAGACGCATTTCGACCAGGTGCCCGGAAGCAGTTGTATTTGTTTTAACGTTTTTTGTGACGGTTCAATTTCCGAGATAGTTTAAGTTTAAGACTTTGGATTGTTTATGTGTTTACTGTTGCTTAGTGTTTTCAGCTTGTCTTTCTGACGAGGGTGTTGTGTTTGTAGGGTTGTTGGCTTTGTACGCGGGTGTTTCAAGGTTTCCGGGTTTCCAGAGACTGTCGTACGGGATTCAGAGAAATCAATAAGGTTATGATCAGGATTTCAAAATTTTCAGTAATGTTGCTGGGTTTGAGGTCTCGGTAAAGCCCGGCCTTCTTCCATAAGGGCCGGCACTTGGGAGGAAAGCTTTAACAGTCAGGCCAGCTAATGAGACTCAGTTTGTCTTGTTCAGCAAGCTTGGGAATGAGCCGAATGAGCCCAACTCAGCCATTTGTTCAGCTCTGCTTTCGTCTATGACTTTGGAAGCTGTTTGCTTCGGAGTTGAGTTTCGGGTGTCTTCTAGCTGTTTCTGGAATTAGAATTTAGGATTGTATTTTACTGGTTGTGTTTTTGCAGCACCGTGTCCTGAGCGCGAAAACCAGTACATGCGAAACTCTGAACCAAAGCTCAAAACTTCTAAACCCAACTTCCTTAAGCGTATTTTGGTGTTTGCTGAGCACATCCATCGTCGGAGGTTAGGTCGTTTAGGGCTTTAGGGCGCAGCGTTGAGATGCAAGGCCAGGTAGAAGTTTCATTGGAGGCATACGTCTGCTTGGTAATGGTTCGAACAAAATGTGCGATTAAGAAACCCTGGCCCCATAACCCCAAAATACTAAGATCCATACAAAGAATCAGACAAAAAACACCCAAGGTTTGTTAATCAGGCTCCTACATAATTCATTCAGCAAATCTCATCAGGCGTTAGGACGTTCGGGTCGCAGCCTGCTGAGCGACTCGCGGAAGCCTCGCATTGATCTCGCGAAAACACGAGAGCCGAAACCCGAAACCCGAACCACAAACCTCAAACCCAAACCCTAAACCTAACCCTAAACCCCCAAACCCTAAACCGGACACCCTAAACCATAAGCCATAAGTGGCGCTACAAGTCCTCCGACATGGGCATGGGTTATAACTATAGTTACCCTACTTAGAACCCCCTCCATTTAAACTTACCCATGAACCTGCAAGTTGAGGCGGTGCAGCGACTGCTCCGGAGCAATGTCGGCAGCGACTCTCATGGTAGCTTTGATATCGACGGCTAGGGCTTTCGGTTGAGGATCTGAGGTTTAGAGTTTAGGGCTGGTTTTCGGAGCTTAGGGCTTGTGTGGCATAGTACCCTGGCCTGCAACTGGAGTCTCGCACTTTGAGAGTAAAGGGATTTGGTTGAGCACCTCGTGCTGGAACCTTCTCCTCTAAGCTTCTGGCAGAGGGTTGAAGCTCTCGGATGCAGCTTAGACTTCTAAACCCCAAACCCTAAACCCCTAAACCCCTACACCCTAAGCCCTAAACCCTAAATCCTAAATGGGCGCATTTAGAGTTCATGGTTTAGGGTCTAGGAGTCTAGGCCGTTGCTCCGAGGTGTTGTTCCCAACTTCTCCATGGGCGTGCAGGAAATGCAGCTTGGCTCGTCTGGTTGCCTTGGTTTTCGGAGCCCCTCATGTACCTAATTTTACCTTTGGTTACTAGGGAATGGAAGAATGGTAGTAGTAGTACTTATAATTGTACCCCATTCCTCCATTCCCTACTAAGCAAAGGTAAGTAAACAGGGCTAGATACCAGTGACCGCTTGATACCCTAAGCCCTAAACAGAGCCCTAGCTAAACCCTAAACCCTTAAGACGACACCCAAAACCCGGAACCCAAAACCCTAACTGAACCCTAAACCCTTAAGGCTAGACCCAAAACCCAAAACCACAAACCCCGACTGAACCCTAAACCCTCAAGACTCATACTAAACCCTAAGGCTAAGGCTTCGGGGTTTCGTCCTCGGCTCTCGCAGCAGCGAGGCTATGACCTGGTGCTTTCTTTCACCCCGGAACGATAGGATCAAATCAGACCGATGTCGCCACAAGCGGGCTAATTTGTCTGGTTCTTAGTAGGATATGGGGGGATGGGCTATATGAGCTACTATAGGACCCTGAAGGGACTGCTACACGGATCCATTCCCCCAGTCCCTACTAAGCACCAGACAGTAATTCCCAACGATCTTCGTTTTGCACTCCGGATTCCCCATTGTTGAACAGGATTGAGAAGCACGCCAGCCTGATTGGCCCCAACAACCCGCTACTCCCGTTGACCACACTCCTTTTTTGACAGCGACGACGGTAGTATAACACACGATGCCCGCTTTGCTGCTACTACAACAGCGAGGACAACGACGACAACGCTGAAGACTGCCTCGCGAGCTAGCGCTAGTGCCGCTGCTATTGCTACCACAACCATAGCCGCAACCATTACCACCACCACAACTACTAACAGCACCCCTACCACCACCACCACTACCACTACCACTACCACTACCACTAGGACTACCACTACCACTACCACTAGGACTACCACTACCACTACCACTAGGACTACCACTACCACTACCACTACCACTACCACTACCACTACCCCTACCCCTACCCCTACCCCTACCCCTACCCCTACCCCTACCCCTACCCCTACCCCTACCCCTACCCCTACCGCTACCGCTACCGCTACCGCTACCGCTACCGCTACCGCTACCGCTAACGCTACCGCTACCGCTACCGCTACCGCTACCGCTACCGCTACCGCTACCGCTACCACTACCACTACCACTACCACTACCACTACCACTACCACTACCACTACCACTACCACTACCACTACCACTACCACTACCACTACCACTACCACTACCACTACCACTGCTGCTACTACTACTACTACTACTACCATTACCACTACCACTAGTACTAGTACTAGTACTAGTACCAGTACTAGTACTAGTACTAGTACTAGTACTAGTACTAGTACTAGTACTGGTACTGGTACTGGTACTGGTACTGGTACTGGTACTGGTACTGGTACTGGTACTGGTACTGGTACTGGTACTGGTACTGGTACTGGTACTGGTACTGGTACTAGTACTACTAGTAGTACTACTAGTACTACTAGTACTACTACTACTACTACTACTACTACTACTACTACTACTACTACTACTACTACTACTACTACTACTACTACTAGTACTAGTACTAGTACTACTCCTACTACTACTACTACTACTACTCCTACTACTACTACTACTACAACGACTACTACTACTACTACGACTACTACTACTAGTACTACTACTACTATTACTACTACTAGTACTACTAGCACTACTAGTACTACTAGTACTACTAGTACTACTAGTACTACTACTACTACTACTACTACTACTACTACTACTACTACTACTACTACTACTACTAGTACTACTAGTGCGAGTACTACTACTACTACTACTACTACTACTACTACTACTACTACTACTACTACTACTACTACTGCTTTCTACCTCCTACCACCACTACGGCCACCACGACGACGACTGATACGGCGACGACCACCAGCACCGCCAGCCAAGGCGCTCCTCCGAGATCGGCCTCAAAGCCGGCATGCGCTTGGCCTGCAGAGTTGGGACGTTGTCGATTTCGGGTTTTGGCATTTTCGGTGTTGTCGTTTTTGGGTCTAGGGTTCAGGGGTAAGGGTTTCACTGCGGCTTTAGGAATGGTGTTTTTGCCGTGGAGGCTTTCGGCTTTGGGCTTGCATTGTCTAGGGTTTGGACGTTTTAGCTTATTGCTTTAGGCTCTCGGTGCATATCCACTTCCCTTACACTTAACAAGGATCCTATCATGAGGACCACGAAGCAACGAAGGCTTCTTTCGGCAAATGTCCCGTGACTTTTGAATAAAGGCTTCTCAAGCCTGAACCCTGAAGCCTTGCACCCTAAACTCCTAAACCCACTGCCCGAAATCCTGTGAAAGCCACAGTCAATAACCTTAGGTTAGACTGCTGACCCCGAACCCTCAAGCCCGATTGAACACCCTAAATACCCAAGCCTGAAGGATCCAGACTGGGTTGCCTTTCGGGTGCTGCAGTGTTTTGTGGATGAGGGCTTTTGGGTTTCAGGCTTTAGGGTTCGAGGCTTGAGGCGTTGGTTTCGGAAGCAGTAGTAGTAGTAGTAGTAGTAGTAGTAGTAGTAGTAGTAGTAGTAGTAGTAGTAGTAGTAGTAGTAGTAGTAGTAGTAGTAGTAGTTAGCAGTAACTTAGTAACCCTGGTGAGGCCCTGCAAAACCCCGAGCCCCGAAGCGCCCCATGAGTCCCTCAGACGAGGCCGCCCCACCTCGTGCAGCTCATCGAAACTTGGCGTTCTTCTGGTTGGCTCCTTAGACTGTAACTTTTTGGGTTTCTATATGAATTATAATGAGGAGGCTAACAGTTTAACTTTTTGGGTTTAGGGTTCAGAAGTCAGCTAAGGAAAGGATTCGGAAGCAGGGGGCGGTGGCGACGGAGCGCCGAGCCTCCACGGGAGGCGCAGGGCTTTGGGGGCTGGGTCCGAGAACTTAGGATCATATGGAAGTTTCCGAAAATAGGGGTACCTTGTATTTTGGGATCCTTATAGCAAGGATCCCATTATTTAGGGTACTGTATTAGGGTCCCCTATTTTCGGAAACTCCCATATAGGTGTCGGCATCATTGTAAAACTTGTTCCCTAAACGTCCCTAATTGCAATCCTACACTTATAAGATACCCTCCCAAACCATGTTGAAAATTAATTATTGAGGCCACTACCTTCTTGCAAAAAGCCCGAATCTCCCACCCCTAAGCCCCGAGCCCAACGCATGGAGCTTAGACTGCGACAGGTTTCTACAACGCCTCCTTCTTCTCCTGGCAGTCGATCAGGAAGAAAGCGGTGCGAACCAAGGCCGGCAATTTGTTCGCTTGCGCTGGGGCTGCTTGAGGTTCATGGGTAGAATATAAGTGGGGTTATAAGTCCCCTAATACGGGTATAAGTACTTATAGTTACCCTACTTATAACCCCACTTAACTAGCGATGAACCTCCAAGTGGCGCCCCGAAGCTAAGGCCCTAGGTGGCTCGGCTTTTGGTGTTGATTTCTTTGATTTCCGGTGGGGCTGGGGTTTGGGTTTTGCTGGTTTCGAGGCTTGCCTATAGACGAGAGTTTTTTTTGGCCCATAATAATGCCGCACTAAACCAGCCCAGCTGTTCTTCACCCTAGACCTATAACCCCAGCCCTAAACCCCCAACATCTTATAAACCCGTCACCGCAAACCCAGAATCCTAAACCCCAAACCCCAGTGCAGAAACCTAAACTAGAGACCTCTGGTTCCAAACGCCCCCAAGACAACACGAGCCATACTATATCATATTATCTTATTTCTGTACTGTATACTGTTATATGGTATCAGGTTATCCATTATATTGTATTTACGAACCCACGGAAGAATGATGGGTTCCTGAATCAGGTTTCAGGAAGAAGAACCCCGCAGCACAAAAAATGAAAAACCAAGCCTGAAGCACGAAGCCCTTTTGCACAGGATTTACCGTAACCCGGAATATCTTACCTTTTTATGGAGTTAAAAAAGGAAATCATAACAAGGAACCCTAAAAAGGTAGGTTATTCAGGGTTAAGGTAGGGTTTTGGGTTTACCCAAGGGCCAGAAAGCTGAAGAAAGGGGCCGCTAAATCCTATTCATGTTATTAAGGCCTCATTTTTAGTTGGGTTTAGGGTTCAGGGTTGAGGGCAGGGCCCTAAACCCTAAACCCTAAACCCAACTGATATAGAGGCCTTAATAGTCCTTCAAAACAGAGAGACCCCGGTCGGCTCGGAAGGCCCTCCGGTACATCGGCGGGAGACTCTGCTGCAGCTTCAGTGTCATCTTCCTGTAGCCGAAAAGACCTACCTTTTTAAGGAGCTATATATCGAAACCTTCATAAGGAACCCCAAAAAGGTAGGTCTTTCCGGCTACAGGTTGGGTTAAGGGCTGGATATAGAGGCTGGAAAGATGAGTCGTGCCATTCCGTAGGGTTCTACTAGTATACTACAACTAGACCAGAATATACTATACCACAATTCGCCATCACATTAGTTGTAAGAAAATCGTGTTCATTACCGTTCTAGTGCGGAAAGGTTGAGAGGTGATGAGGCCTGCATGTAGATACCCATGATGCTTGGGGTGCACGGAAGTTGTCGGTTGAGGTCTGTGGCATAGGGTTCCAGGTTTGAAGTTTTTGGCGCGGCTTTTCAAACCAGAGTCGCCTCCAAGGCGTCTCCAGAAGACGAGCTAGGGTTTGGGTTCAGGGCCGTTTTAGGGTTTGGGGTTTGGGGGTTTGCGGTTTGCCGAGCTGCAGGTGCTGGGAGCATGACATGTGTGGGATGGGATTACCCATAGGCCCCATAGTAGTTCCATTTAGACTTCTGTATATGAACCACAAGAAGGAACGACTTTGGGGCTTGTGGGTAAAAGGGTCTTCGGGCGGAGTGAACCGGACGCAGCTTCCGGGGTTCGTGGATTCAGGGGTGTTGTGGGTGCCCTCAGCTGTATTTAAGAGCAGGGCCGCATTCTTGCGTTCCGAGCCACTTCCTTAAATGCAACACTGTTGCGGAGCCACGTGAGATTCCCAAAAAGAAGGATCTACGAGTATGTAGTGGACGTGCTGGTGCTTGCCTATGCGCTGACCTTGGGTTTCGAGGTGCGCAGCAACCACCAGTCACAGCGTTTTGATGAAGAGTTTTGGGTTTGGGGATGAGGAGACATGAGTCTTAAGACCTCCACAATGATGTTCTCAATTCTGTCTGGAGAATCGCAGTGTCGGAGTGCGTTCTGCAATACATCGTATGTCAGCTTTAGCCCTCCCATTTGCAGTCGATGGAGCTTCGTACCCTGCACATGCCAACACTTCGATTCACGAGTGTATCTTGTGCTACTACTACTACTTACTACTACTACTACTACTACTACTACTACTACTACTACTACTACTACTACTACTACTACTACTACTACTACGACAACTACTACTACTACTACTACTACTACTCTCACGATTCTTGACCCTTGGAATCAAGAGGCTGAGCCCTGAACTAGAATCCCGAGCCCACGCGCCTCCACAAACCCGAAACTCCAACCCAGAGCCTCCAATATCCCTTAATTAAGGAATATACCTTAAATCATATTTCGGATCCTACTTATGATTTAAGGTATATTCCTTAATTAAGGGATATACCTTAAACCATATTAAGGATCCTACTTATGACTTAAGGTATATTCCTTAATCAAGGGATATTGGAGTCTCTGGGAACCCAAACTCCCTAAATCCCGGACCCTCTGCAAAACAAGTCTCATAGCCCGAAGCCCTAAATATTCAAGTGAGGCAACCCTAGATCCGAAAGCGTTCGAAGCCTCTGAAACCCTAAACCCTAAACGAAGCCTCTTGCTGCGCAGGTTCACTATACAAGCCGAGACAAAGAGCAGCCTGGGTGGGTGTACCCCGTTGTGGCTTGACCCGGATGAGGGGTTGAGGGCCTGCGAGGGTGCCTTGAGAGCATGAGGGCATGTCCTTAGGACTTAGGGTATATGGAGCTCTTGTGGGGCTTGTGAGAGGTTGGGAGTGCTTTGTCTAGGATTGAAGTTTTTATGACCATCGCATTTGAATAGATAGGTTCGGGTAGGAGTGTAACTATGACAACGATGATGAGCCTGGTTGGTGGGCCCAGCACTTTACTCAACTCGTCGCTCACTTCATAAAGGGCCTAAGCGTTTGAGACCTTAGTTCTTGGTGATCTGGATGTGGTAGTTTCCGATAATAGGGGTCCCTAATATAGTACCCTAAATCGTAAGATCCTTATTATAAGGACCCCAAAATAATGTACCCCTAGTTTTCGTTGGCTTAATAGGACCCTATTTACGAATATTTTTCAGAGGCTTTAAAGGGCCCACCTAGTTTTTGCAGTCATAGTATAAGACTTAAGATGCCCCAAAACCGTATTGAAATGAGTCAGGCTAATTATTAAGGACCCCATATCAGAGTGCATGAGGACAGCAAACATGGAGGTCGAATAGTCCGATTTCAGGACCGTGAGGATTCTTGCAAACCCTACTCGGTGTACACTTCAAAACCCACAGCATTTAAGGTGTCAGAAAGCCGACAGTTGTGGTGATAACTTAGGACCTAACTTTTGCTTTGACTCTAAAAAGCCCTAAGGCGTAATCTCCTAAACCCTAAACCCTAAACCGTAAACCCTAAACCTTTAAACCCCTAAGCCCTAAACCCCGGTAACCCTAAACCCCTAAGGAGATGGCCTTTTGCATCATCTTCGGCTTGGACATCGTCCTTCGATTGGTCGTGGAAGCTCAGACGGCGCTTTTGGGGGTTTAGACTCAGGTCTCGTACTGCTTTGCTCACTGTCCTAGTAGTTGAGTAGGCAACCTTTAACCTTTTTTGGGTAGTATAGTCCCTATATAACTAATCCCTATATAACCAAAAAGGCTATCCTTTAGTTCCCCATGATACCCGATAAGTAGGCAGTGCTTTCATTTTTTAAGGGTATATGCGCTGTTTTGCAGTCGCCGGTCCGCGCAGTGCTTTGTGAGCTGTGAATTGTTTAGGCGCTGTATGCAGACTTGAGACTTCAGGTTGCTATACGCATGCTCAGCAAACCGAGCTGCATCTTCCAGTATCTTTGAACGGCAAGATCCGCCCGTAACTATGGATGGGGCTTCTGACATACTTGTAGTAATGCCTGGCAGAATGGATGCGAATTACGAGCACAGCTGCTTCAGCACTATGCCTTTCAAAACCGGCTTTGGCTCAAGAGATTTCCTTGCCTAGACGTCCCACGTGCTTTCCGCAGATCTTCCTTGGCTGCCATGGCATCCAGGCTGTTCAGTGGTACACGTTTTTCACTGTCAAGTTTCTGGGTTCCTACTTTCAGGTTTCTGGGTTCCTATTATAGAATAAGAAGCCTACAACCCTAAACCCTATAAGCCCTAAACCCCTAAACCCTAAACCCCCAAACCCTAAACCCCTAAACCCTAAACCCCTAAACCCTAAACCCCTAAACCCTAAACCCCTAAACCCTAAACCCCTAAACCCTAAACCCCTAAACCCTAAACCCCTAATCCCTAAACCCCTAAACCCCTAAACCCTAAACCCCTAAACCCCTAAACCCCTGAACCCTAAAACTGAACAGCTGAGGCATCCCCAGCTTCGCGCGATGCCGCCGTGGACTACGAAGGACTCGGCCTGCTTCAGCAGGCCCAGCCCGTGGCCCGCAGCTCCCGCAAGTGGCGACATGGCTACTTTCTATATCCTTTAAAGGGATCTATAGGGGTTCCTTTAAAGGGATCTATAAGGGTATCATAGGAGGCCAGCGGCGACATGGCTACTTTTCGTCTTACCTTTGGTTAGTAGGGAATGGAGGAATGGGGTACAACTATGACTACTGTTACTACCATTCTTCCATTCCCTACTAACCAAAGGTAAGTCGTTTGTAGTATCATCGCAAGTGGCGACATGGCTACCTTCGTTTCGACCCATAGACTCCATAGTAGTTCCTGTTTGGGGCTACCGTATAGTGCCTTACAGACTTCTGTATAGGGTTACTCTCGTTTCTAGTATCATTATCACGGTGGTGGTTTTTTGCGATCACAATTCGTTTTCGTTGTTGTGATGACAATCAATCTTGTTACTGGTGCTTTTGTTATTCCTCCTCCTCCTCCTCCTGCTACTGCTGCTGCTGCTACTACTACTACTACTACTGCTACTGCTACTGCTACTGCTACTGCTAGTACTGCTACCGCTACTGCTACCGCTACCGCTGCTGCTGCTGCTGCTGCTACTGCTTCTACCGTTAATATTTCCCTGCTTCTACTGCTATGAAAGTGCTTACGTGGACCAGCACTCTGACTATCAGTTCTTACTTACGATGCCAAGTTCCTCCTACCCATAGGCCCCATAGTAGTTCCTTTTTGGGACTACCTTATAGAATTCTATATATGAACCACAGAAAAGAATTGTTTTGGGGCCTATGGGTAGAGTCTTCTAAAGGTACTTTGTCGGTGCCGGCCTGGCACTGCTCGGCGTCGTCGGAGTCGCTGCCAAGGCTGCTTCTTTTTCTCCATGGCAGTTTCCGAAAATAGGGGACCCTAGTGTAATACCCCAAATAGAAGGATCCTTATTACAAGGACCCCAAAACAAGGTACCCCTAATTTTCGGAAACTCCCGTGTCTTCTGGGGGGGTTAAAAGGGATATGGCTTGGCTCACGATGTTTAGTTCTCCAATAACTAACCGGTTGCGGATTCACGTCTACATGTGATGTTGGGTGTCTCCATGAAGGTTCCATGCGCAAAAGCAGAACCTCTTGTTTTATTATTCTTTTCGCGTGGAGCGAAATTTGCAAGTAAATGAGCATAATTATGTATTATATAGGCACACAAACATACACACAGAGAGATACCTCCCAGTAGGCGGATAGATGGACAGATAGATGGATGGAGAGATCTTTGGACAGATGGATGGGTCGGCAGGTAGGCAGGTAGGTAGATAAGAAAAGACAGACAGGCAGACAGACAGATAGACAGACAGACAGACAGACAACATGGCGACAGAGACCGGCAGATATAGCAGAGATATAGACAGATCGATACAACGGTAGTTACATAGATGGGTACATAAACAGATAGACAGACAGACACACTGCTAGAAAGCTAGATAGATAGTTAGGGAGGCAGGCAGGTAGAGCGATAGACAGTGCCTACTTTGGGCTATTTTGAGTCTCAAGATCCTTGTAACTAGGGCAGGTCCCAGAATAGCTTATTGATATCAGGATCCTCTATCTGTATTTGACGTTCAAGGGTCCGACTAGAGGTAGGTGATTCCAGACAGGGTTTAGGGTTTAGGATCCCAGACAGCCTCAAACAAAGAGCCCTAAACGGGAGTGCAAGCTCAATCTTGAGCGAGCTTCAACAGCGGCCTGCGGATAAAGAAGCTACTGCACCTTAATAAAGAAGGTCCGCAAGAATATTCCCCTTGATTATTGCCGAAGTGAGGCAACGAGCTCCGGTGGCGCGCTGTTTTCCTCGAGTGCCACAACGAAAGGCCATTGGCCGAAACACATAAACTAATGTGGGGCCTAAATAGAATTTTAGGGCCTCCTTATTATAGTGATTATGGTATAAATGGTCCCCCAAATCGTATTCTAATGAATTATTGAGGCCCCTATATTAGGGCCTTTTTTAGCATGAGGTTTATTGATAGGGTCTTGCAGGTGTGGAAAGGTTTTAGAGGGTTTTACAGGGTTGTAGGAGTAGGGGAGAGGATCGCACAGTCTCACAACTATGGAGTGCCCCTACTTGAAGGCTCATGGGACTTAGTAAGTAAGGTTATAAGTAGCTTATAATTAGGATAACCCCACTTAGGGGACTTATGACCCCAATTATAACCTACTTACTAAGTCCCATGATCCTCTAAGTAAGGGCCAAAACCACTACACCACGATGACTGTGTGCCCGGAACCCTCACTCACAGAATTCTGAAGTCTACAGCCCTGAACCCTAAAGCTTTTCCTGCAACCCTACTGTAGGCCCTAAAACCCTAAACCTTCAAAAATCTGAACCTTTACACAGCTTTAACTGACACATACGATGCAAACCCCCTGTGAAGAGCCTTTTGAAACATTCTGAGGTACCATCCAGGCCGCTGAGACGTGGGAGGAGCTGCCTGGTATTGACAAGGTCATCCGCAAGGCCCAGGGTCATTGTTCGGGGCTTCAGGGTTCAGGGATTAGGGTTCTTACATGTCGGTTGTTTGCTCTTTAAACCTTTTCCTGGTGGGTGCCTCTAGGAGGGTTGCGTTTATATCCGTTTGCCTAGGTGTCACGTAGGGCTCAATTTTCCGTTTCACCTACTTAAATGCCTCATGGTTGCATACTCCTAATCAAAACGATCATAACATAAGGCGCCAAATCCCAGAAACCCTAATTAAACTTAAACCCTTGGACCTTGCTGGTTGCTGGGCACTCAGGGTGTCACGTGCGCACTGGGTTTTAGGATAAGATAAGTCGGTTTTAGTTTGGGTTGTTGGGGAGTTTAGGGTTTTCGGGGGGTCTTGGCGGTAGGGGCCTTCATTCTCACGTTTGACCGACCTGGTCAGACATGAGAATGAAGTGCGACTTAGGTAGGCAAATGTCATGTGTCATGTCTGACCGATCAGGTCAGCATGACACATGACATTCTTGTTGTCACAAGGAGTTCACTCCCACGTCTGACCGATCTGGACAGATGTGTGGGTGAACTCCATAATAAACCCCGTACCCACATACATTCAACCCCTTCCCGCCCTTCCCGAAACCAGGGTCACCATGCCCGCCCCACTAGCAGCCAAGCAACACCCATCCTCACACCCAACGCCACACACACTGATATTCCCTCAAGTGAGTGCCACGTGAGGACTCACAGCGGCATTGGTGTCTGTGAAGTTGTAGTTGGATTTTAACCGCTATGCGATTCAACTAAAGGAGTCTTCTGAAGGTCCGCCTGGACGGGCTAAAACCTGAAGATTATGTGCAGTGTCGCAGGAGTCATGTGGATGCACCGCCCGCCTATGTGCCCAGTAAGGAATGCAACCTTACAATGGCCCGCTACCTGGCACTCTTCGGAGGCAGAGGTGCTGCGTATCATCGTCGAACGTTTCTACCACGCCGCTGCTTGCCAGTGTCACTTCGACCAGACATTGTGGAGAAGTGTCAAGACATGTCCACCAGGGTTGGGCGGAAGCGCAAACGTGAAGGTCAGTTGGAGGATGTTCAATCTGGAAGGTGTCACGATGGGGAAGAACTTGCACGGGTGGCAAAGTCAGCGTCTGCGGCTGTCGAATGTCAGCTGGGCAATCAGTATCAGAGACTGGCCAAACGCTTGGAAAACCTGCTGGTGTCAAAAACGCTGCTTGGATGCCATCAGTGTCATGCCTCGCATTGTAACAGTCAGTCAGTGCCACCGCTGCCCAAGAAACAGTTCAAAGCAGGCGTGCTAGAGCCTGGAGATGGCCCCACTGCGATGAAATTCCAGAAGGCACTGGAAGACGAGGCAGCACTTAGAGAGGCCCTGGGTCACATGGACAGTGCCATTGTCAAGGCTTCACTGAACCCCGCGAACTCGCATGCAGGGGACAACTGTATTGTAGTTTCTGAGAAGCCCATCAACCACAGTGTCATCCAGGAGTTGCGTCTGGAGGTTGAAGTTTGGAACAACAGCACTGTACAGTGTCTGGCGAAGGCCAACCGTATTCTCTGGTTCTGTCCCACACGCGAGGATGAGTGTCACATGATACTACCGTCAAAAGACACTCCCGATGAAGGTGTGTCCGAGTTTCTCACTGCGTCACGTGCGATGGGAGGATATACAGTTGGTACCCATCATGTCACTAGAGCCTGCGCTCAAGAAGAAGATGGAGTTTCTGTTACATAAGTCGCTGCTTGGAGACGACAGGGCCAGGTTCAACTGCGTTGCCGGTGGCCAAGGCATTTTCCAAACGTCACGAGGCCTGGAAAACTGTCCGGGGTCAAGATGATCATTTCATACTGCGTTCGGACCCGAAGGACATGACGCTTGCCTGCATTATTAATAAATAATTCAACTCACGATGGGTTCCTGTGTAGCATAGTTCTGTGTCTGAGTTTACCCGAAGAGAGCCAAGACTGGGATATGGCTTCATGACTGACGAAAAGGTTCCGAAGGAGTGTCGCCGCAAGAAAGAAGGGCGGGTAGGCATTCCGATCAGTGTCGTGAGTTTTGTCATGGCATGCAGTTATTGGAGTTATTGGGGCAGAGTCACAAAGTCAGTTTTTGATTGCTCCCCAGCTGCAGTTTCACCCCCGTGTCACGAGCATGAGCGATGCAATCATCGGGGTAAACAATCACTACCTGCAGCGCCTGCCACAGTCAGTGTCACGTGCCATTCGTACACGAGTGTTTTGAAATCCCGCGCCCAAGTCGGAGCTGCTGCCAACGATGTCATAGACTGCTGCGAAAAATGCTTGTCTTGCAAGCACGTTGTTCCCGCATGCACATGTTGCAAAAAAGTTTGACAAGTGTAAACTTTAATCCGCCAGCAATCCCGACAAGTAAGGGTTTATTCTCCCTAAATTTGGGGTTCTGGATGCAGGGTCTATTTTCCATGAATTGGTGGTTCACGGTTTCGGGCCTAGTTTTCTTCAAGTTGGGCATTGGGGGTTCGAGTCGATTTCCTTAACTTTGCCCTGGCAAGGCACAGAGCTTGAAGCAGGACAAGCCGATGCGCAACTTGCAGGATCTCTTCTATGACTCCCAACCTGAGGAGTTGCCATGGCTCTTTGGTTCTTCAATATCCAGCAGTTAAGCGGTTTGGGCTAAGGGTTTAGGATTTTTGTTTGAGTTTTGGGTTTTGAGGTTCTTGAAGCGGGGTATCGTTCTGAATACTAAACTCTACTTGCATGGTTATCTCCGAAGTAAGGATTCGCACGGAATGCGTCATTGACACCGTGCAGGCTGCCGCGTACCTAGGCCAGGCTGTCGTCTTCCTCTACAAGGCCATTGACTACGATGGCCTTGAGTGCCCGAACAACTCGCCTGTTGGATGTGCTGCCAGCGTCGCAGGCTTCATCACGTCCATCAGCTGGATCGCCTCGTACCTGTCCTTTGCGGCGAACGCCTGCGGCCAGGCTGTCAACAACGGTGCGCTCTGTGCTGGTGACTTCACCGCTCTTATGGCCAACTTCGGCGAGATCGCCACGGTGGGCGCCGCTGCCAGGGCGGACTGCAACTTCGGCAAGAACGCCCTCCAGATCCTCACACGCACGGAGACGATCTCCCCTCCCTGGAAGGAGTTCGTCCCGGCGGGAGCTTCGCCGGCGGTCGACAAGGCCTTGAAGATCAAGGGCCACAAGGACCAGCAGCGCAACCGTGACTACGACATCGTCCAGTGCGCTGTGGATGTCACCAACTCCGCTTCCTACATCGTCCGAGTCATCCTCCAGATCCGTGCCGCAGGCAGCGCCTGTGCGGACCCGAAGTCCTGCGCTGTCGGCATCATGAAACTGGGCTTTGGAGTACCATACTTTAATGCTTTTTCTCTTAAAGGAACCCTTGTGAAACAAAAGCTTATACTTTCTTCTAAGAGGAACCCTTATGAAAACAAATCGTATTTTTTCTCCCTGGTTGTTTAACAGCCCAGGAACATCATCTCATCCTTCGCGTGGATCTCCCAGTTCACGGCCCTCGCGGTTTCGGATTGCCAAGTGGGCGCCGACCAGAAGGCTTTGTGCACAGCGGAAACTTCGTAGCTAATCAGGTACGCCTTTTTTCGATGTTCAGGGTTTAGGGTTTTAGGGATAGGTTTGTTGGGATTATTGAGAAGTTCTATAGCCGGAAAGCCTAAGTTCTGTCGGCCTTATGAGCGGAGCCATGCCAAGGACATTTCGGACATGGTGGCTGCGCTCACCAACGGCCCGGCTGCCGGCATTGCCTCCACCTCGGACTGCGCGGACCTCTAAAACCCTTCCTGCGGTGAAGGAGATGTAATATGGGGGTCGGAAGATTGGGAGTACTATTGATCTGGGATGCTGAATGTATGCCATAAATATAACCCACAATCCCTGGAAGGCCCCCATAGAGCATCAGATTTTGACGTAAAATCGTCACTTGAGCCGCGGCCTGATGAAGACTGTCGTTGCAGCAGCTTCCAAGAAGAGGCCCCCGCTCAGGAACCGGGGTGCACTACGCTCACCGGGTTCCAGAGAGGCTCTCACAGGCTAACCTGTGGCGAGTGCCTCTCGAGATTTCGGGCCAGCAGAGAAGTCTTCACATCCAGTAAACCGTAATTGCTTGATGGACTGTTGGCCCAACCGTTTGCGAGCTAGATCACGGTGGCTCTGTAGCATGTCTGCAGCTGTCAGGCCTTATCAGAGGATTCTTATTGTGAGACCAAAAAGTTCACGCTCAAGCACGCTGGGCCTAGGCAGAAACCGTTGCAGATTTGGAAGATCTCACTTGTGTCGGCTGCGGGCTCTGCAGAGCGCACCTCCCTTGCGCCTGAAAGAGTTTTCTTGCCACTGTCAGTGTCACGCGCCTGGAAAACATCAACGTCTTGAGGGGCTTGCAACTCAGTTGCTGAAGGACAAAATCCTGCGTCGCGTTACGTACGCTTCACTATGGGAGTAATCATGTATTCCTTACCTCCTATGGATGAAGCCGGATTCTGTCCATCAGCAGTAGGGCTTGGGGTCGCTTCCGGCCAATTGTAGTGTTATAGTGAAGTCATTCATACTTGGCGACCCTTCTCTTTTCAATTGTAGGCTGCCATGTGCTTCTATCTTGATCCGAAACCTTGAACCCTGCCTTGAACTACCGTAACCTACTCTACTGTAGGTTCTTATTATAAGCCCGAGTATGGAAATTGTAGGGACCCTACAAAAAAGCACGTCTTGGTAGTTCGAGGCAGGTCCCAAAACCAAGATTGTTGTTGCTGGAGAGCTTGACACAGGCCAACCCTTGGGCCGCCCCCCCCCTCTCTCTCTCTCTCTCTCTCTCTCTCTCTCTCTCTCTCTCTCTCTCTCTCTCTCTCTCTCTCTCTCTCTCTCTCTCTCTCTCTCTCTCTCTCTCTCTCTCTCTCTCGCGCTCTCTCTCTCTCTCTCTCTCTCTCTCTCTCTCTCTCTCTCTCTCTCAACTAAACGGGTTTAGGGTTCAGGTGGTTTAGGGTTTAGGGTCTCTATCTCTCTCTCGCCCGCTCTCCCTGTCCTCTCCTCTGCGACCCTACATCCTGATTCCGTAAAGCCTTCCCTCGCCAGAACATGGTGAGACCAGGAACGCTGCGGCTTCTTCAACGGGCGGCGGAGATGGTGGAGCTTTGCTGGGGATGTGCGAAAATGGTTGTTTCAATAGCTGGTTTCCTTCAATCTTGCGAGCCCTGCAGCCAAGCCCGAAGCAATCAAGACGAGCAAGTAGAGGGTGCTATGCTAAGCATGGTGTGTCAGCGCCGATGTACGTGGGTATTCCACGTTGCAACTCCGGACCTCAAGCATGCAGGAAGTGTTCAGGGTTGTGGGGCAATCGTGCTAGGAACCTCAAGGATTTTCGGGTTTATGGGCTTGGGCATCATATGGTTAGGACATTTTAGGGTTTAGGACGGTTAGGATTCCGTAGACACAGACGACCCGCCCACTCTTTCCAGGAACCTCCTTGACGTCATCTGCGTGGCCATGATGTCTTTGGCGCTGGCACAGGCCGGCTGTCAATGTTAGTTGAAGGCTCATGGGACTTAGTAAGTAAGGTTATAAGTAGGTTATGATTAGGATAACCCCACTTAGGGGACTTATAACCCCAATTATAACCTACTTACTAAGTCCCATGATCCTCTAAGTAGTTGGGCTCCAAGATTGAGGGCTTGCAGCATCAGTCTGCCGTGAGACGTAGGCTTGGAGCCAGTGTACCCAGAGAGCTCAATACCCATTATAGAATAGGGTTTAGGCGTTTAAGGTTTGAGGTTTAGGGTTTAGGTTTAGGCGTTTAGGGTGTAGGGTTTAGCTTACATCATTATATGAAGCCGTGATATTTGTAGGCACTTTCCTTCGTTAAGGGGTATTGGGCTCTCTGGGTTCTTTGGGTCCGGCTTGCTCTCTGTACAACTGTAGCAAGCCATATTCGAAGCCCTCTTGCAATTATTTAGAGTTCAGGGTTCAGGGTTCTGTTCCAGCCCTGTCACAGAACCACATGAAACAACACCGTAAAGCCTTGCGAAACCCAGGCCTCAGCCAATCATGCCCATCTTAATGATCAGCATAGCTCAAAACCCTTTCATTTTAATACACTAGGATACATCAATAATATACCATAGTATGGACAACGACAGCTATTTTCATATGTATACGTACTACACACATTAATGTATACTGTTTACTCTAATTTGTACTGCAACATATACCATACTATCATCTGCGGGCCCCAAAAATCTGAAAACTTGCCTGAAGCTATGAGGCTATGAACTTTCACGGCTTTGCGGCACCCGTTGAGGCTCCTGAATACTCAACCGCTGAACCCCCAAACCCCAGCCCCCAAACACCCAAAGCCTTAAACCCGAAGTGCTCAAACTGAAACCCCAAACTCCAAAGCCAACAAACACAAGCTAAAGCCTCAAAACCCACAAACTCCAAACCTCGTCCTTCTTTCACCAAAAAGGAACGCAACCCTACTATAGAGGCTTTGATAGTTACTATGCTATAGCTATAATACGGAACCCCTACATAGTATTGGTCATCATTTAGGAACCTTTACTAAATCCTTCTAGTAGCCCGTATAGTTAGCCCTTGAAGACCCCTCGAAAGGAACCCCCACAATAGCACCTGTAGTAAGCCCCGTAGAGCAGCCCTAGGAGTCGAGAACGCTGGAGAACTTGTCCTCTTCCTTGAGGCCGGGCCCAAAGAGCTTTTCGGAACGTTTAGGGTTTAGGGTTTAGGGTTTAGGGGTTTAGGGTTTAGGTTACCCAAAAACTTCCCTCAAAGCCAGTAAAATAATGGCCCACCACCCATAAAAGGCTATTATTCTACATACTTTGGGGGTCCCAGTACTTATATAACCCGGTTCCTTACAAAGTAATTTCATAAAAGGCTATTATTCTACAGACTTTCGGAGTTCAGGGAAGGATCAGGGTTTTTAGGGAAGGGAGCTTTCGAGCACAACGTCCTTCAACACCCTGAAACCCTAGACTCTAGACCTGCCGTATTGTGATTCTAGGGGGATTGTGGGGCCATCCAAGTTCTAAGATGGTCCGGGGGCGGAGCCATCCGAATTCTCCTTCTGCATTCGTTCGTTTTCAGTTTGTCTAAGATGGTCCGGGCCGGAGCCATCCGTATCCTCCTTCTGCATGCTTTCGTTCGTTGTCAGTTTGTCTAAGATGGCTCGGGCTGGAGCCATCCGAATTCTGCTACAGTCTGTTCGTTCGTTTTCAGTTTGTCCAAGATGGTCCGGGGCGGAGCCATCCGAATTCTTCTTCTGCCTTCTGTCGTTCGAATTCAGTTTCCATCCGATTTCTGCTACTGCCTGTTCGTTCGTCTTCAGTTTGTCTAAGGTGGTCCGGGCTGGAGCCATCCGAATTCTTGTTCTGCCTTCGTTCGTTTTCAGTTTATCGAAGATTGTTCGGGCCGGAGCTATCCGAATTCTCCTTCTATCTGCCTTTTTCGTTCGCTTCAGTTTGTCTAAGATGGTCCGGGGCGGAGCCATCCGAATTCTCCTTCTGCACTCTTTCGTTCGTTGTCAGTTTGTCTAAGATGGTCCGCGCCGGAGCCATCCGAATTCTGCTACTGTCTGTTCGTTCGTTTTCAGTTTGTCTAAGGCGGTCCGGGCCGGAGCCATCCGAATTATTCTTCTGCCTTCTTTCGTTCGCTTTCAGTTTGTGTAAGTTGGTCCGGGCCGGAGACATCCGAATTCTTCTTCTGGTCTGGGCCGAGCCATTCGAATTCTCCTACTGCCTCTTCGTTCGTTTTCAGTTTGTCTAAGATGGTCCGGGCCAGAGCCATCCGAATTCTCGTTTTGCCTTGTCGTTCGTTTCCACTTTGTCTACGACAGTGCTGCCATGAGTGTTGCGGCGATGAAGGCACTGAACAAAATGTCCAGTAAAGGGGCGCTGGAAGAGGGACTCAAGTCTCCAGTACAGTACTTTAAGATCCTGTCACAGTCGCATTACACCCCTTAGTTTCAGTATCACGTACTGTTGAAGCTCTCCCATCTTCGAACCCATAGACACTCCCCTACGGCAACCTGAACCACCGGCAAGCCCAGCACCCTGGACCCAGAACCCTGAACCATGCTCCCCAAACCCTGTAAGACCGACCCCGCTAATGCAGGAACCTGATTCAGAAACCTTGAGCCTCCATTAGAGCTCCTTTTATGAATCCTAGTATTTTGGGGGTTATAGACCCAGGGTTTCTTAATCAGCGTCCTACATTACCCTCAACCCTAAACCCTGAACCCAAAACCCTGAACCCTGAAACCCGAAACCCTGAACCCTGAAACCCTAAGCCATGAATTCTGCGAGCGTCGCAGGATCATGCGGCTTGTCCGCCTGGTCCGTGCAACCCGGCTGCCTTTAAGGACCTTGGGTGGGTCCGGGTAGCCGCCTAGTAGTAGAGTAGGTCATGGTGTCTCGGAACCCATAGAGGAGTCCTGACAAGGGCTCCTTTAAGGGCTTCCTAGATTAGGTAACCTTTCACCTTTTTTGGGTAGTATGGTCCCCATAACCTTCAGCCCGCCATGATGCCCGACAAGTCGGTTAGGGTCGGTAGAGTTTACGGATTGTTAGGATCTGCCGGATGAGTAATATAGCGGCTTCAAGAATGACCAATACCATTTTGGGGGGTTCCTTATGATAACTCTAGTATTTATAACCTAGCGGCTTTAAGGCTGTTTCGGCTTTAGCGTTTAAGGTTCAGGATTCAGGGTTTTCGGTTTTAGGGTTTAGGCTTCAGGGTTTGAGTGCTTAGGGTTTCAGGGGCTAGGGATCATGAAAGTTTCAAGGCCTGGAATCCCTTCGCTCAGCGTATCAAAGAAGGAAGTGACCGGCATGAGTGAGACGGAAGGCAGAGAGGCTTTGCTCGACAATCTTCTGTACTTCATTCTGTTCTCTGCTATGGCGGCCATATTCCTTATCGTTGCTCATGCAGAAGTCCTCGGCAGTTCCTTGTTTGTTGCTGAATTTGCGCGCGTGTGCATGTGTGTGGGCTTGTGAGGTCACCGTAAGATCGAGTTACATTCGCTTGGACGTTTTTATGTGCCGATGCTCGACTTAGTAACTGGGTGGATACACTTTACACTTTGTGGCATAATACTGTTGATGATATAAATCCTGCAGTACCTTAAGGACCCAAAATCATGGGAATTATGGTATATTCCGTGTTATGGATAATGCAGGATTTTTATCATCAACCGTATTACCCGCTATGAAACTGAAATTGTACACTTTTGGGGGCTTATGAACTCAGCAACTAAGTCGACAAGCTGCTGGCTGGCAAATCCCTGCAAACAAGGTCCCTCCAGACCCAACCTGCCATGAAACCGAACCACTTGTTGTTCAACGAGTGTATGTATGTATGTATGTATGTATGTATGTAAGTATGCATGTATGTATGTATGTATGTGTATATATATATATATATATACATATATATATATATATATATATATATATATATATATATATATATATATATGCATTATATATATATATATATATATATATATATGTATACATAATGCATATATACACGTCATGCGCGCGCTCGCAGAGATAATCATAAAGGCATTTGATATGGCTGCATCTCTGTCTCTCCCTGCTCTCTGGTGCCTGTCTCTCCGTGTTTGTCAGCTCTGAAACAGATACCGTAAAGGGGACTCCAGAAAGTTGGAATATGGTTTGAGGGTAGGATACCCTAGAATATACCATAAAGGGTTTAGGATAATCTTCTTCCAACTTTCTGGCTTTTACTTTAACCCACTGGTTATAAGTAGGATAACCCCACTTAGGGGACCCCAATTATAACCTACTTACTAAGTCCCATGATCCTCTAAGTACCGTTCTTCATCAAGGAAACTTGGACCCTTTGCAGCAAAATCATGTCCAGCTGGTGCCCATCCGCATTCACCCAGAGACTCCAATACCCCTTAATTAGGGAATATTCCTTAGATCATATTAAGGATCCTACTATAATTTAAGGTATATTCCTTAATTAAGGGATATTGGAGTCTCTGGGCACAGCGCTGCATAAATAGATTGCAACATGGACATCCCTATGGTGGTAAGCACAAGCAATGCGCCCGGAAGTAGTTCATGTTCGTGTGGCCGCGTGTGGCTTGAATGTGGAGTTACACTTTCCACTACATGAGAGTTTCCGAAAGTTAGGGGTACCTTATTTTGGGGTCCTTATAAGACGGATCCACTGTTTAGGGCACGATATTACGGTCCCCTGTTTCGGAAACTCCCACAGCAGCGTTCTCTTTGAATTTTTGAGCTACACATTCCACTTATAAAGTGTCCTAAGCCCTAAACCCGGACCCCTCAACCCTACACCCTGAAACCCGAGACCCCTAAACCCTGAACCCCTTTTGAGGTACTATGGCATATGCGCTCCTCCCTGGCCCAGTGGACGCAGCTGCGCAACTCGGGCCCTGAACCCACGATCGGGACCTGGGAGTTCCGAAAATTGGGGGCACCTTATGTTGGGGTCCTTGTAATAAGGATCTTATTATTTAGGGTATTAGATTAGGGTCCCCTATTTTTGGAAACTCCCACCTGAACCCGAGACCCCAAACCCTGAACCCCAGGATACTAGAGGGGCCTTCACTGATAATTGCCTATACCATTTTGGGGGTTGTCTTTAAAGGGGTCTATAAGGGCTATTATAAGGATTTAGTAGAGTGGCCTTCCTCATAACATTCCCTACACAGGTTGCTGGGTCCTTATTGTAATTGTAGGGTTACTGGGCCCCAAAACCCTATTCTAATTATTTGAGGCCCCTATATTAGGCTCGGCAGAGTAAACTCAAGACAAATACTCAGTCTAGAACGTCTTGACCTAAACCCCGTACCGAGCCTCAGATTAGGGTAAAGGGTTTAGGGTTTGGGGCATTTACCCAAAGCCCTGAGGCCGGCTTCATGACTCCTTCTTGCATTAAGCATGACTGCACAGCTGCTGCTGCTATTCCTCGTTGACTGTCATTCTTTGAAAGGCCTTATGCGCCAGTAAAGTAGAACATGCCCTCAAAACCTGCGGAGTCATGTTGGGCGTGTATGTTGAAGACTCCACACCGCGCCTTGAACGACATCGCATATTTCAGACCAGGTCGTTTCCAGCTCCATCCATGTTGCCTGTCCCTTTGGCGCTCGTGCTTTTTATTTTGGCGTTTAAGAGAGCGGAGCACCAGAACGCAGGCCAAAGAATCTATAGGATCAAGAGAAGTAGGCCTGGCTTATTGAGAATCCCCTCAGTGAGGGATGGCTCAAACTGTCGTCCTTGACCAGCCGCCCCAGAAGTGTGGTTGAGAGCTTGAGCGAAGCCCGTAACCCTGAAAGGCCGTAAACGCTCCACCCTAATTCTCAAATTGAACCCTATGTAGGGTACTATATTATTAGGATCTATATTAGGATCCCCTCTTTTTGGAAACTCCCGCATGGACTACTTCTTTGGAAGGCGCCTATATCGGCTTCCGGATAAGTTTAGCGCATCCTTGAACCTTAATTAAGCACCATTTTCCTCGACATCGGTGGTTCTCGAACTTGAGATGCCGTTGGATGCGTGACAGAACTTCGTCACTCTTCAACAAGGAAAGCAAAAGAAGGACTCAAAGAACCGCCGCATGATTGTCTCGCACGAAGGTGAGCTGCGAATTCTGATGACATCACTCAGCGAAAGCATCTTGGCGTCCAGCATCAGTAGTATTCAGCCCACCAACGCCACACTCTTGCTGAACTCCCTCCTCCTTGAGATGCCCGTGTAGGCTGGTGTAACTGGGCCGGGGGATACATACAAATGTAGAAAGACACATAGGCGGGAGAGAGAGAGAGAGAGAGAGAGAGAGAGAGAGAGAGAGAGAGACGGAGACGGGAGCAGGGAGCAGGGAGACTCCGGGGAGGTGGGGGATATGGCAACTGCCCTCCAGGAGGGGAGCTGAATTCGAGCGTGCACAAGTGTTGCTAGTACTTCGGTGGTGCTTCGCAATTCTCAATAGGGTCGCCGCTTCGTGTGGGGTTTCAGAGTTGAAGCCTTAGTTCGCGTTTCAGGTTTAGGGTTTGGGGGTTTCTGGGTTCAGGTTTTTCGTTTTGGTTGTCACTTCTATGTGTTTTATGTTTTGAAGGGGGTGAGCTTGACTGGGTAGCGGTCCTTGTTTTAGCCGGTTTTAGCTTCGTAACTGCAGCTCCTTGTTCGACACTGATGTGTGGTGGCTGGATCTACAAAATACTTAGTTGAGGAGGTTGTTATGATGCTGGGTCGCTACATATTTGCTGTGTTCTTATTGCAGCTAAGGCGGTTATGAAATACTGTGATTGGTTACGATGGTCGTATACTTCTTACCGGAGTGTGTTCGAAAATGGACTGCATTGACCTATTTCAACCCAAACACCCCACTCTAAAGCGGACCCCATCGCGGAGCAGGGCCCCATACTATGGAACCCCCCCACAGGTCCCTTAAAGGAGCGATGGAACGAAGCCCTACCGATCCCCTAAAGGAGCCTTCAGAGGAACCCCTGCCCTACCGATCCCTGAAAGGGAGCCTTTAAACTTTAAAAGAACCTTTAAGGGACCCCTATTCTAATGACTAGGGCGAAGCTGTCCGAGGCGTTAAAGTCATGGCATGGTTGGCCATTCTTGTTTTCAGCCCCGCGGTCGATTCTGGGTTCAGGGTTTGGCATTTTAGGGTTCAGGGTTTAGAGGTTAAGGGTTTCAGTTTAAGTTACCATACTAGGCTTCTATAGGAAGTAGTATGGTTTCTTTAGCCCTAGCTTTGTTTTTGTTGGTTGGGTTTTACTGGCGACTGAGTTGGGGGTTTAGGGTTTTAGGGTTCAGGGTTTGGGGTTTAGAGATCAGATTTCGGCATTCAGTTTTCTGGTGATGTAGTAATTTAGGGTTTGAGCTTTCGGACATGCTTTCAGTGGTCCGGGGTTGAGGCTTGAGCGTTTTGCCTGCACCGCATGGCGATAATGATGAGGATGTCGAGGAGGAGATGGGTCCCCATAATTTCCATACTAGGGCTTATAATAAGAACCTACAATAAAGTAGGTTACGGTAGTTCAAGGTGGGCCATGCCTCGATCAAAGAGATCTTGGGCATTTCATTTGCAGCCCCTGGAGCAGCCCATGCCGAAACGCACCCCTTTGCCCCAAACCCTCAAAAATCAGCTTAAGACCCATCTCCCGACGGTAGTGAGCCCCTAAACTCCGAGTCCGAAATCCGCAGCTCTGTCTCAGCAGTTGGGAGGTGCTACGCTTTCTTAGAGGATCATGGGACTTAGTAAGTAGGTTATAATTGGGAGTTATAAGTCCCCTAAGTGGGGTTATCCTAATTATAACCTACTTATAACCTTACTTACTAAGTCCCATGAGCCTTCAAGTTTGTCCAGGCTCCAGTCTTTTCTGGGCTGAGGATTTCGGATCGAGGTTGGGTGTTGGACGACAAGGTTCGCTCCATGACGAGACCGCATGGGTAAAGCCCTACGGGAACCTCATACTTTTAATACTACTAATACTGCTAATACTATTAATACTACTAATACTACTAGTACTACTAATACTAAAACGAATAAGAAGCCCTAGGTTTTCGAGCCATGAGCTCATAACAGCAGTTCACCATGAGGTGGCATCTACGTGGCCAGCCTCGTCATGACGGAAGGGGTCTGGCGGAAATGCCCCAATCCGGAGACGGAGTTGCACCCTGGCCAACAACTGTATTTATTACCACAATGACAACTGCGATGACAACAACAGATAAGAATAGTTAAAATGGGCAAAGGCATGGTAGCAAGTATCTCCAAGTAAACACATCGTGGATATGTTCTATGTAAAGTTCGTCGTAATCGTAATCTTATGAATTAAAGCCAGAATGACATGCACAAAAAACAACAGCGGGTCTTGAAGCCGTGCAGTTGGGCAGAGCTGTCTCTGGTAGGGTTGATTGGCTGGTGGGGCCAGTTATTTTCATGTGTTTATGGTTTTAAAGGGTGATGGGAAGTGGCAAATCGGGCTAGCAGTGCGGTAGCTGGAATAGCCTGCTCACAACGACTCTTGAGCTTCCAGCCAGTAATAGGGCTAAGGCTAAGGCCAATATAGGGGTCGGAATGTTTAGTGATAGCATCCCCTTGTAGAGCCTATGTAACCATGCTCTAATGTATCCCCAACGCCCAATTCCCGTTACTAAGGCCTTTACTTGCGGTTTCGGGCATACAACAAGGCCCGTGACGCCCGGAAACCTGCTACTGTAGGAGCCTTAATAATTAGGATAGGGTTTGCGGCATCCTTATTATAATTCTAGTATTTATAGGGTTTGCGGATCCTTATTATAATTCTAGTACTTATAATCTACCTCAAAACTCTTTTCTAGTTGTTTTAGGCCCCTACATTACTTAGCGGCTGCTTCATTCCCCAGGACTCCTCATTCGTGGTTGGTTTTGTCACCCTTATTTGGTTCATCACCAAAGGCCTCGAACTCAAAACGGCGCATGCTTCCTCAAAGCCGTCCTACGTTGAAAGATTCTCCATACCCCTCAGAAACTATGTGAAAACTGGTGCATCCATTGTGCAGAATGGGGAATCCTCTTCATCCCATAGGTGCTAGGGCGTGATACTTGACAAGGCTGTGCCATAAATTTGGCACACTCTTCGACTCCATGATCACGTTCTTTCAGTGCCTTTGCCTTGCACAAAGTGAGAGCGCCAGACAACCATGAACCCAACACCCTGCATCGGAAAACCTGAACCCCAAACCCAACATCCGAAACCCTAGACCCTAAACCGTAAACCCAACATCCTAAATCCTAAACTCCGAGCCCTCAACCCTCAATTCTAAACCAAACTGCGATCGAGGGTTGAGGGTTGCATCTTAGGCCCCTTGAGCAGTAACATACAGTAACATCTGAGCCCCTGCATGATCCGAAAGGCTCTTCAGGGGTTTCGGGCTCTAGTTAAGGCGTGGTTCAGAGCTCGACGGCTCAAAGATCCCCACCAAGCCATCAGCAGCAAGCCCCGCAGCGCACGCAAACTGAATTTAAAGCTCTCTAAGGCCCTGAAGCCCCATATCATCTATCTAGCTACACAGTTCCCATACGGGTTCTGCAAGCGGCTTATAGGAGTTCCGCAAAAGCACCCTCATTCCTAATCACCGAACCTTAAACAAACATCCCTAAAAACCCCAATCCCGGAGCTGCAGATCGACCCCCCTAAAGGGAACTCCAGAAAGTTGGAATATGGTTTCAAGGTAGGCTATCCCATAATTTACCATAAAGGGTTTAGGATAGTCATATTCCAACTTTCTGGCTTTTACTTTATATCCTCAAACCTTGAACCCTAGAACTCCTCAAACCCAAACTGTGCTTCTATATTATAGTCTCCTTAGGAGTTATGTGTTTTTTGTTTTCTGTTCATATAATTCCCTAAACCCTAAACCCTAAATCCTAAACCCCAAACCCTAAACCCTAGAATACTAACAAGGGTAGTCTTATGATGGTGCTAAGGATGGTGTAGGGGTCCCGAAGAGGTGATCTCGGAAGCAGCAAGTGCTGCGCGTTCGGAAAGCCTGGTTATGAGATCCTCGAGTTTATCGGCGAGCTTCAAAAAAATGAAGGACCCCTATGTCGGACCCTAAATATGGCAGGATCCCTGATATAAGGAGCTCCCCCCCCAATGAGGGGACCTCAGCTCCGATAAACCCTAGCCGTAGACTCTAAATCCTACTTGAAGGCTCATGGGACTTAGTGAGTAAGGTTACAGGTAGGTTATATTTCGGATAACCCTACTTAGGGGACTTATAACCCCAGTTGTAACCTACTTACTAAGTCCCATGATCCTCTAAGTAAGCTCCTTGTTAGAAACTCTTGTCCGGTCGATTGAGGATCCAGTTCAGTGGCTTGCTATGGAGCCATCTCTGGGACGAGGCCCGTTGGAATCTTGAGTCGTACGTGATGCGAAGCTGTTAAAGTTTAGGCCCCTGAAGCCGTGAGCCAGGCTCTGAAATTTCAGGGTTGAACGCGCTGATAGGTATTCGCCGGGCTTTTGGTGGGCATTTCAGCTATCTCTGTCGCTGAATGGTTTTCGGGTTTTATCCGAGTCTATCCGATAGGAGGATTCCGGGCATCGCATCAACGAATCCCACACCATATGGGAGTTTCCCAAAATAGGACACCCTCATATAGTATCCTAAGTAGTAGGATCCTTATTATAAGGACCCCCAGGATAAGGTACCCCTAATTTTCGGAAACCCCCGCAGGCCCTGCAACCTCAGTCCTGCGCCCTGAACACGGCCCCACTAAGTGCCCCAAACCCGAAATAAACCCTAGTTGGAGGCTCATGGGACTTAGTAAGTCTGGTTATAAGTACCTTAATTGGGGTTATAAGTATACGTACCTTAATAATAACCGTAATTACTAAGTCCCATGATCCTTTCAGTAAATCCGAATCCTTGTAGGGCTTTGGGTGTAGGGCAACTGTACATAGGGGCTGAGTTAGGGTAGGCTTATATAAACCCGAACTCCTAAACCCCTAAACCCTAAACCCTTTATAACCCTAAGCCCCTAAACCCTAAGCCGTTAAATCCCAGACCCAAAGCTTACATAATGTTTGGGGTTTTTGCAGGAGCTGTTTGGCTTTAGGCAGAGTGAGGGTTTAGGGTTTAGGGCTGGTTTGGGGCTGGGCGTAAAACCCAATCTCAAAGCCTTAAACCCTGCTTAGAACCCTAACCCCTTAGGCGCAACGCAGTGGACCCAGGCTTCAACACCCTACAACTCATCTGCAAACTGTGCAACCAAATTTGTGGGAGCTCTAAGCCCTGACTCTAAATCCCTGACCTCAGGGGTTTTGAAACACCAGCCAGGAGGCCCTAGACACAAAGCCTGAGCCCCCACTTTTCAACTGCAGGTTCAAAGCCTGGAGTGGATTTTTCAGGCACGGGTTGGGAAACGGTCGTCTCGGGGCATTCGACGATAGGGGGTTGTTGGTTTGGGGCTTTTTACGGCTTCAGGATACTCCTTGGGGTGGGTTCAGGGATGTACAGTATTTATACAGGTCCGACCGAGTCTCCACATTAACGAGCCTTTCTCGTCACACAGGCTGACAGAGTTGCATAGGGGCTGCAGCTTCGTGGCGACAAGCTTCAGCATTTGTGGGATTTAAGCAGGACGTAGGTGTGGTTGAAGCGAAAAATTTGGGTCTAGCCGTAGCATTCACAAGTTGCCACGAAAGAACTGTGATGCGGAATTTGGGGCGGGAGTAAGATCAATGCGCCTGGCCTTCTAAGCTGCAGTGCCGGACCTTGTTCGACAACGTCACCCAAACCCTGTAACACTGTAGGCTCCCAATCCTCCACCAATGGTCCCGCACAGTGCAAGATCATCTAAAGCCCGACGACACATCCAAAATCCAGGTGCTGAGTGCAGCAACTTTTCGCTGTCAGAAATTTGTACCACCGAGTTGCGCTAGGCAGTTGCGCCAATCATCCCTATCCTGCAAGCATGCGGCTGCAAAACCCCGGATGCGTACATGTGGGAGTTTCCGAAAACAGGGGACCCTAAGGACCCTAATATAGTGATAGTAGGATCCTTATTATAAGGACCCCTAAACCCTAACCCTAAACCCTCCCAAGATAAGGTACCCCCATTAGTCGGAAACTCCCATGTAGTCCAAGGACTTCGGACCCGCCCAGAGCCCAGGTCCTAAACTCCCCCGAAACCCTAAACATCCCTAAACCCTTACAAGCCCCTAATCCCCTAAACCACTAACCCCTAAATCCTAAACTCTACACCCCTAAACCCCAAACCCCCAAACCCTAAACCCCTAAACCCTAAACCCCTAAACCCCCAAACCCCCCCCCAAACCCTTAAACTAAGCCCAAAGCCCTCAAAAGCGCCATTTGGAGGCGGCCTTCTTGAGCTATGTAGGCTTTACGCTGCTGATCGTGGTGCCTGGTGGCATGTGGGGGATACCCATAGGCCCCAAGCAAGATATCTGGTTTAGGGTTCAAGGGTTTATGCTTCACGGGTTTAGGTCTTAGGTTCAAGGGTTTAGGGTTGCTAGGGTTTAGGCTTCAAGGGTTAAGGCTTCCAAGGTTGATGACGACCTCACGGTTCGACGAGGTTTAGGTCAGTCGGTCAGTCTTGGGCTTTTGCTGCAAGACTTAGTAGCTGGGTGGATACACTTTACACTTTTGGGGATAAGATTACCCACTATTAAAGCCAAAAGTGTGCACTTTGGGTCCTATGAACTGCAACTACTGTTGATGAGATACATCCTGCATGACCCTAAGGACCCTAAGCCATGGGGATTATGGTCTATTCCTGGCAATCGTAGGAAGATGAGGAAGTCCCTACTGAAAAAGGTTCACCCAAAGGGTTGGCATCAATGGAGCTCCTATGGCACACCAATCAAGAATTGCAAGATCCTGCAGCCCTAAAGAGTAGACCGTAAAAGGAGAGGCTTCAATAATTGCCTATACCATTTTGGGGGGGTTCCTTATTATAATTATAGCATAATGGGCCCCAAATCCCTATTCTAATTATTATAAGGCCCCTATAGTATACCGTGCGAAACCAGTGCAGCCCCTACAGAATCCAACCAGGCCGCGAAGGCACCACCGCTCTCAACTTTAAGCCAATCACTAAACAGACCTCACAAGAAGGAGACAACTCATAACCTCAAAACAAGAAAGCTTTCGAACAAATAGAGCTTGACTCGCAAACATGCGAAGTTGGAGGGTTTTGGGCTCTTGAAACCAAGGCAAACACCATCACCAGCTTCGTTTGCAGTCTCCAGACGAATGTGACGAAGCAGCCGGGCTCTAATCAAACATGGTAAGAGCCCCCAAGGGCTTGGGGTGTTGTTTGAAAGGTTGGGTTTGAAGGCTTTGGGCTTAGTGGAAGGCAGGGATCTAAGGCTTGGTGTCTAAAGCTGATGATTGCGCACTTCGACCCAAGATTTTTCTAAGCTTGTGGGCTGGAGGATGCCAGGATTAGGGACGAAAAAACCCAAGTTCGCAACCGCTAGTCCAGGGGGGCTTTGTAGATACTTTTCGTGAAAGATGCGCGCGTGCAGCCCGAACATCATCATGGAGTCATCGTATACTACGCCCTGAGTGCCTTTTCTCATATCCAATCCTTTTTGCAGTTGTATTGAAGCTGCTCTGCACAAGGGATGCCATGGGCTTATTACCCCATCTGCAGACTCCAGACCCCAAGCCGCAGTCGCCAGCCGAAGCGTTGTCTGAATATGCAGGGAACAGCATGTAGGAACCTGATCAAGAAACCCTGGGCCCAGAACACCAAAATAGTAGGACTCGTATAAGGAACCCTACAAAAGGCCCAAGGTTTCTTAATCAGGCTCCTACATTTTTACAATACCCTTATAGATCCCTTGTAGTAACCCTTATAGACCCCTTTAAAAGGCCCCTAATAAAGGCCCAAGGTGTCTTAATCAGGGTCCTACATTATCAGGAAAAGCAACAGCCGAGGGGTGGTCCTGCCAGGCTGGTTTAATGCTAGCTCGAGGGATGCTGATGTGAGGTTTCGGCTTTAAAGGTAGGGTTTGCTAAGTATCTATTTGGGATAATGGCAAATTCCACCCTAAACCTTAAACCGCGAAACCCTAGACCCCTAAACTCGACCCCTAAACCCCGGACCCCTAAACCCTAAACCCCCTAAACTCTGGAGTCCGCGCCGAGGAGAGAAAGGGAGCTCCTTATCGACTCGGAGCTCGACTTCAACGAGCGCCTGGTGCGGCAGCTCCTCGGTGGCGAGCTTTTAGGGTTTAGGGTTTAGGGTTTAGGGGGTTTCCTTACCTTGGGCTAGTAGGGAATGGAGGAATGGGGTATAATTATAACTACTATTACTATGTACCATTCTTCCATTCCCTGCTAACCAAAGGTAAGTGTGGGGTTTTCGGCTTCAAGCAGGTTTAGAATTGACTTTTCTGGTACTGAGGGTGTTGAGACTTGCAGTTTTGGGTATATTGTTTGGGAAGGGCTTCCGGCAAGGGGCGTGCAGGGTTCTCGTATTCTAGGGTTTAGGGTTTAGGAGCTAGGGTTTGGGGTTTCGATACCTTGAAGAGACTTGTTTGCGGCTAGATCCACGGTCGAGAGCTTCTGGACTCGTCTAAGTGGCTCGTGGCTCCAGGCTTGGCCTGCTCAGGGTGCATGGAGAGTGAGGTTCAAGGTCCATGCTGCAGTGATGAAGCTTCGCCGGTTTGGGGTTTAGGGTTTAGGGTTTAGGGATGTAGTCGTGGCGATGGTGATGGTTCTGATGATGATGGTGATGATGATGATGGCGATAACAATAAAAGTATCGTGGTTAGTGTTCTTTTTAGGGTTATTGGTGCTACTACCGTTATTGTGGCTATTGTCATCATAATTGGATACTCTCATTCGTACTATTGCACTCGCAGCCGCAGTCGGAGTGGTAGCAGTGAAAATAAAGTAGCAGCGCTAGGCTTTGAGGGTCGAATCCCCAAAACCCAAACCCCAAGCACCAAAACCCGGAACTTCATCCCCGAGCCCCAAACACCCGCTGCGGGCAAAAAGGCTCTACGCCATTTTCCGGGACTTCGACCAGAACGGCGCCTCAGTGACAGACTCCGGCTTTAGGCCTTGAGCCTATCGGGGGCCTCAGAAGGTAGGATGAAGGTAGGTGGGATATTCCCAAATAAGAGTCTTTATATAAGGGATCCTTAATCCCACCTACCTTCATCCCACCTTGTGAGGCCTCCGAGCCTATTGGGCCTATTTTTCTGTACTTTTGCACCGCAAGTCTCGTCAGTGGCACAATGTACTCGAAAAACGCTGATCTCTTGGTACTACCCTTACAATCGTTCCTGCTCATCTTTTGCGACGCGCATAATGCCATGCTCTCCGGTTGGCTAAGTTTGGGATTTAGCGCGATGAACTTTCAACTACCCTGGAGTACATCAGTCAGAACTTTAGCAGCTTGGCAGTCATGCACCACTCCACTGCAAATGAAGATTGTTCTGCATTCTGCTTCTTTTTGGGGATACTGTCTCAATTGCCATCTGTAAACAAGTCGCCACGGCAGATGTCCAACGGCTGCGATTACTTAGAGCCTTCTCCAAATTCTAGAATCAGGTGTCCCCGGCGGACCCCATACCCTAAGCCTTAAATCGTAAGTCCTAAACCAAAGCCCTAAATCCTAAACCCTAGACCCAAACCCCGCGAGGCAATGGCGCCGTCTCTTGGACAGAGTTCCAGTTGGCCCTGCAAGACGAAAGAATGCAAGCGCCACTGGATTGACATTGGACTCTAATTTGAAAACCCTAAGGTGCCAGGTTTCGGAGTGAAGAGTTTAAATCTAAGCCGGCACTAGGGCCTAAACCACGCAATGCCCGAAACTTTCGCGTGGGATGCGGAACGTTTTTGCATCTGAGTTGCAGCCATGGGCATTGCAGCAGGAGCATTTGCAAGGGTTCAATGGGCATTGGGTTTTCAGGTTTAGGATCATGACCGGTGGCAGCGATGATGGTTCGGGATTGCTAGAGATGTTACTGATAGCAGGGGGCTGATTTCAGGATTTCAGTCTTTGTTTTGGTGTTTATATTGGGGTTCTCCCTAATCCTAAACATGCTGTAGACGTTCCGAGCCAAACTCCCTGAGCCTTCCCACCAGCGCGATGTGTCCCTTCTCTGTGGCGAGACCCTAAATCATCAATCTTGCGCATACATACACACATACATACATCCATGCATACATTATCATACATACATAGCACATATGTATATATATATATACACACGCACTATACATATATGAATATATTGATATATATTAATATATATTTATATATATATATATATATAATGTCAAGAAGTAAAATTTGATGCAATCTATCTTAATCTTGCAAAGATACAAGCCGGATCATCGCAAGGTTTCTGTCTGCCCTCGAGCTTGATATGTCGGATGCGGCGACTTGGCTTCTGGGGTTTTTGGTTTAGGGATCTAGAAGTTTAGGGTTTAGGGGTTTTGGGAGTTTAGGGGTTTAGGGTTTACGGGTTTAGGGTTTCGGGGTTTAGGATTTTAGGGGTAGCGTGGCCCGCCTCGCATGGCTTCTTTGTGTGGGGTTTGGGGCTTATGTGCCTCGGAGCTTCGCATTATGTATTTTGTGTTCGGTTGATAGGGTTTTGGGCCTTTTAGGGTTTATCAAGCTAGACTTGAGTAGTATTTCATGCTTTTCGCGGCTGCTGCTTTGAAGTTTACTCCTCGTACTGAGATAAATGCTTTGCCACAGTATTTCTTGCTTCACTGAAGTATTGATTGTGGTTACAGACTCCGAACACCATGCCCGGTGAGGTGAAGGTCTTCCACATCCTTGCCTCAGACTCCACCGGCGCTATTGAGGCGAGACCGGAAGGGACTCATCTTCGTTTGAGTTTGCATTGGAGTTTCAGGAAATCAGGGACCTTGAGACAATACAAGCCACCACGAAGCTTCTGACAATTCCGGATACGGAGGTTGTGGGCTGCTCGTGGTTTAGGTTTGGGGTTTAGGGCTTTAAGGCTTGCGGCTCAGCACTTTGGGGTGTGTATGGGGAGTGTGACGAGCATTTCGAGGGACCGACATCCCAAAACGTAAATTGAGCGCAAGGTAGATTTCAGCGTTCGGTCTATTACCCTTGATCGGGATCCTTGCTCGACGGTCGAGGATGGAGCTCTGCTTTGTGTGTGTGTGTGTGTGAGTTTTTTTTTTGGAGGGGGGGTGGGGGGGTGGGTGAGGGTTTTGGGTTTAGGGTTCTGGGTTTTGGGTTTCAGGTTTTGGGTTTAGGGTGTAGGGTAGGTTCAGGGCACAAGGCCGGAAGTTCGGTCGACAAGGCATGCTGAAAGCTGGCGTGACCTCCAGAAAGCCGGAAAAAGCGTCCGGCCAACAGCATGCAAGAGCATGGTTTTGTCCTACTGATACTTCGAATCGTACATGATTTTAGTACCCTCATCCTGGTTTGATTTGAGTCTACTGAGCTTCAAGACAGGTCCCAAACATGTAGGCCGGGACTGTGGGTTCTGGCCACCTTCCCGAAAGCCCTGGCCCTGGGAGAGCAAGCTATGCTTCTACTCAGTACTTGAAGGCTCATGGGACTTAGTAAGTAAGGTTATAAGTAGGTTATAAGTTATAATCATAATTAGGATAACCCCACTTTGGGGACCATAACCCCAAAGACAAACCTATTTACTAAGTCCCATGATCCTCTAAGTATTGCGGCTCCTTAACTCAACGCAACCAAATCTACTAAGTGCGATACAAAGCCTCGCACTCTGTGGTTTCCAGGAACCTTAAAACCTAAACCCTAACCCCCAAAACCCCTGAACCCCTGAACCCGAAACCCTTAATTAAACCCCTAACCCCTAACCCCTAAACCCTAAACCCTCAACATCCCTCCCAGAAAGAACGAACCGGACCACCCGAAACCTCAGCCTTGCTTCCTAAACACCTAAGCCCTGACTGAAGCCCCCACAGTGGCCCTCCTGTGGAAGGAGTCGGACTTCCTGCTCGGCTGCCTACGCCTCCAAGTCGGCACTCCGAGGGTTGTTTTTTTTTTCAGAGCTTTCGAGGAGTTTTGTTTTCGGGGGTTTAGGGTAAAGGGTTTAGGGTGTAGGTTTTAGGTTTAGGGCCTAGGGTATAGGAGTGAGGCTTTAGGGCTTAGGGTTCTCATGTTTGATTTGGGTTGAACTCCAGGTCCTTTATTGTTTGAGGCAGGGCGCAGCGGCAGGTCGCGGCGGGGGGGCGGGGTTTGGGGATCAAATCATTCGGTTTAGGGGTGTGTAAGGGCCTCATGCCATCGGGGTCAATCCCCTTTGTATCGGAGTGTCGGCTTTTCGGTTTCTTGGTCTGTGCGGAATCCAAGTAGGTGAGAGAGCCCGTTTGGGGTCAGGGTGCCACCATGAGCTTAAGCGTCTACCAAGGACTCCGAGGAGGGGCAACTGCCGTGGACATGGTGAGGATTCAGATGGAGCCGTTTGGCTAATGAGTCTACGTAATTAGGGCGCTCAGGATTGTGGTTGTAAAGAATTCAGGGTTTAGCGTAATCAAACGATGTTTCGGGTAATTGGGCTTGGAGAATGTAAAAGGAGTTAGCGCAAGTATCGCTAGGTTCGTGGTTTAGGATCCAGGTTTCCGGCCAAGGTTTTAGGGCTTATCAGCTTACAAGAAAGTTCTGCCCAGGCATCCTCTGTGGCTGGGTCGTATGCATATGAATCCTTGGAAGGGTCGTGGTTTCAGGCTTTGATGGAGGTGAGAGGAATCAATCGCTTTTTGCTGCAGTTCTTGAGGCACGTTGGTGTGCAGATTCGCTTCGAACAGAATATCCAAAGGAATTTGGGAGTTTCGTCAACTGGCAGCACTATTCTTGTTCCATCGAGACTTTTCAGCGCTTGCGTGGAGAGTTGCACACAAAATCCAGGCCTGGAGACAAGAAGGAGCAAACCTGCTCAGATGCCCAGCAGCACCCACAAAGCCACGCTCGAACTCAAGAAACAAACTCTGAACCTTCAGACCTACTTGGAGGTTCATGGCTAGTTATAAGTGGGGTTATAAGTAGGGTAACTATACTTATAACTTAAATCCCATTTTAGGGGACTTATAGCCCCACTTATAGCTACCCATGAACCTCCAAGTAAACCGCACGACTCTACGTCCCAAACCGCGAAACTTTGAGTCTTAACTGCCAAAACGATAAAAGACCCTAAGCCCTTAATCTGCAAACCCACACCCCAGCAAAAAGAAACTGGCCCCGATCCCATCGAATTCCTATTTTTATCCATGTTTCGTCGCCCTTGTTCAAGCGTTCTCTCGTAGCCGTTGCAGCAAACCCCTATAACCCTAAATCCTAAAGCCCCAAACCCTAAAACCCTAAACCCCAAAACCCAAAACCCCAAAGCCCTAAACCCTAAAACCATAAACCCCAAAGCCCTAAACCCTACAAGCCTATCAATCCCAAAGCCCTAAACCCTGAAACCCTAACCCCCAACGCCCTAAGCCCCAAAACCCATGCGCCTGAGGCAAGAGTGGATGCACAGCGCTCTGCAACAGACCAGGGCGATGACCCAGAGGACTTCAGCCTCCTGGGTTTGGGGAGTTCGGTGGGTGTTGGGTCTGTAAGGTTTAGGTATTTGGGGTTTACGGGTTGTCTAGGATTTTTGGTCTTTGGGGTTTAGGGGTTAGTGCTTCGGGTCATAGGTGTTCTGTGGCTTGGTAGTTCAGGTTTAGGTGTTTGGGGACCGCTGTTCAACGCTGTGACAACAGCCGTGCAAAGCTTCTTTTATCCGTAAGTACCAAGCCCTTCAAGAAAACCCTCCACAAACCGGGTTTAGCCGTTAAGAGTTGAGGATTCTCCATGTTCTGGCCAGCGACTTCCGCAACAATGCGCCGCCGAATGAGCAGCAGAGGACGATCAAGATCTTCGGGCTTTGGTTTGGAGTCAAGTTCTATCCTGCGTTTTAGAGGTGCGGGTTCGGGTTCACCAATGGGTTTGGGGTTTTGTTTTTAGGTTTATTGCTTTCAGGTCAGGGTCATACCGCGGTTTCTTCGGATCGGTTTGTGGCTGAGGGTAGTTTTGGACAGAGATGCCGGATTACGCAGTGGTGTTCCCTGGGCGCTACACGACTTGAACATTGAACAAGGTAACTGGTAATAATACCACGAGCCCTTGTCATCGTCACCATTAGAGTTTTGAGCAAAATGTGAGCCTATTCTTCGAATACTGAAGCCCCTACATCAATAGATCAGTTTCCTGCAACATCCTTTCGCACCTCTTTTGGCGACAGTAGGAAACAATGTGACCTACTTCAGATAAAGCGCTCAAACACACAGTAGACTGCTTTGCGACGCAAGTTATAGCCTGCTTCTTACGACGACCTCCTTGACCTTGAAAACCATCACGCATGCTACAGTTCAGGGTTCAGGGATGTTTTGGGTTCTGGCATAGGACCAACAGTTCCGGGTAGTTTTGGCCTATAGTTAAAGTTTTGCCGAACAAGCCGAGTTTTCTTGCGGCTTTCTAGGGTGTGGGGTTGGGGGTATTCCATAACGATCCCCACTGAAACTGAAACTACCCCCCCCCCCCCCCCCCCCCACCGGGAAAAAAATGCGCTCATACTGAACTGATATTGAACTGATACTGAAACTGACACTCCCCCCTCACCCCCCGGAAAAATTTGGCACTGATACTGAACGGATACTGAAACTGAAACTGCCCCGCGGGAAAAACTATTGCACTGATACTGAACTGATACTGAAACTGAACTGAACAACTGAACTGAACTGAATCTGCCCCCCCCCTTCTCAGGAAAAAATATTGCACTGATACTGAACTGGTACTGAAACTGAAACTGAAACTGAACTGAAACTGAACTGTCCCCCCCCGCTGAACTGAAACTAAAACTGAACTGAAACTGTCCCCCCCAGGAAAAATTTTGCGCAAGTTCGTGAGGCTTCCAACACGGAACACCAACCACGGAACACCAACCTCTTGATCCTTGGGCCCGAAGCCTTGTAACCGCTTTAACCCCAAACCTCGTACCCTAAAGCCTAAACCCTAACCCTAAACGCTACAGCAAAGCCTGAAATCTTGTACCCGAAACACAATAATGGGCTGGCGCCTCCGGCTAAGCTTTGTAGCAAAGCCTCGGATGCCCCTTCGCTGAGCCGCAGTTTCCTGCGAGGATCCTAGGCGCGCATAGCGCCTCCTTCGATCATCTCTCTGATTCAGCTGCTGGGCTTTCACTACTTGGAGGATCATGGGACTTAATAAGTAGGTTATAATTGGGGTTATAAGTCCCCTAAGTGAGGTTATCCTAATTATAACCTACTTATAACCTTACTTACTAAGTCCCATGAGCCTTCAAGTACCCAGGGCTTCAGCACCTTATACTTGGAGGTTCATGGCTAGTTATAAGTGGGGTTATAAGTAGGGTAACTGTAATTACTTATAACCCATATTAGGCGACTTATAACCCCACTTATAACAACCCATGAACCTCCAAGTAGAGCCCTTTTTCATAGTCTTTACGACACCCGTTCAGAGCCCGAGGCCCGCAGAGACCTCGTAATGTCCGTAAAGCTCCAGCTCTGCGTTCGACGGAGAGGCAGACCCAGAGAGCCCAATGCCCCTTTACTAGGGAATATGGCTTAAATTATGTAGGGCTTCAGATTATGATTTAAGCTATATTCCTTAATGAAGGGGTATTAGGCTCTCTGGGGAAGTGAAGCCACGAATCTTGAATCACCAGAATCCGCAGACGTGAAAGCTTTGCAGTTCCAGCTTTTCGGGTGCAGCCTGGGAGATGTGTTAACTGAAGCATCGGACCAGTCAGCACTTACATGGGAGTTTCCCAAAATAGGGGACCCTAATATAGTACCCTAAATAGTAGGATCCTTATTATAAGGACCCCAAAATAAGGTACCCCTCATTTTCGGAAACTCCCACATAAGGCATTGGTTCTAAACGCCGAGAAATTGGAACAGCCAGTTTCGCCGTGGTTCCGAGTGATTGCACGGGAAATCCGAACTCCAAGCGTGCCTGAACCCCAAGCCTTCATTCGGATTTCTTCAGGGAGAGGGAAAAGAAGGAGGGGAACGGCCCAAACCGTAATCCTGCAACCCTAAGCCCCTGATCCCTAAAACCTTAAACCCTAAACCCAAACCCTAAAGCCTAAACTCCTAAACCCCTAAACCCAAAAACCCAGTCCCTAAGACCTGCAACCCTAAACCCTAAACCCAAACCTTGAATCCTATTGTCCTTGCGACTCTGCCAACCTGACGCCCTCGAGCTCTTCCATTCTGATCCTCTTAGGCTCTTACGCCCGTGAACCCTTCACTCCGGAAGCCTCTAACCTTAAATCCAAAGCCCTATAAGTCACAAAGGCGAAACCCCAAACTCTGAACCCTAAGCCACCAGCCATACCTGGGGATCCAAAAACCCACCGTTTTAAGGGTCAGACTAATTAAGGGGTCATAACCTACTATTTAGTAGGGTTTGGAGTCACAGGTAAACCCTAACAGCCCCAGACTTTGACACCCTAAGACTTAGCCCCCCAAATTCGGATCGCCCAGGAAAGCAGCGAGGATCCCATCCACAACTTCCTTAGGCCGGAAGCCAAAACATTGGGACCTCTTTCGTGAATTTTGACGAGGGTTGTCTAGACTTCTGTCATCGGGATTTTGCAGGGTTGTATAAAAAAACGGGGTGGCGGGTTTGTAGTCGGGGGTTTGACACTGTCTCTTAATGAAGGGTTGGTTTCTCGTTTTTCTCGGATGAGTCTGCGGTTTCTCAAGTTTCGGGGAGTCCGACAGCTAGCGGGGCCCTTGAATCAGGGATCCTGGGGTTACATAAGGGCTTCCTACATACCCTGAAACTAACATGCGGGGACTTCGCAGATTTCCTTGTCTTTTCTTGGGCTTTAGGGGTTTGGGCAGAGCGGGTAGAGGGGTTTAGGGTTTAGTTTAGGCCCGCTTAGAGTCTACCAGCACCCCCCAAGTACCCGTCAATAGATCCCTTATGGTCCTTAATTGTGGGTATGTGGGTTACGTTAGAGGGTACTTTTCGAGTTTAGTAATTTCTATCAACCCTAAAAACCTTGCAAGCTCTATAAACCTTATAAGCCCAATAAGCTATAAGCCCTATAAGCCCCATAAACCGTATAAGCCTTATAAACCCTATAATCCTTGTAAGCCCGATAAGCCCTACAAAGCCGATAAGCCTTATAAACCCTATAAGCCTTATAAGCCCTATAAACCCCATAGACCCTATAAGCCTTTTTAACCCTATAAACTCCATAAGCCCTATAAACCTTATACACCTTATAAACCCTATAAACCCCGTAAATCCTATAAGCCGTACAAACCCGAAAAACCTCATAAACCCGATAAGCCTTAACAGCAGTATAAATCCCATAAACCCCATTAAGCCTTATAAACCCTATAAACCCCGATAAGCCCAAGAAGCCCTATAAAGCCAGGACTGACCTGATGACATGGCAGCGGGCCGTGACCCTCCAGGCGAGATCACGGGAACTTTAACCCCTAATGTAGGGGGGCCTTAATGATAACTAGAGTAGGGCTCCCTTAAAGGGGTCTATTAGGGAAACTATAAGGGATTCATAAGGATACTATAATGATGGGGGCCTGAATGATTAGAATAGGGTTCCTGGAAAGGGTTCTGGAAAAGGGTCCTATTAGGGTTGCTATAAGGGGTATTATGGGATTTGATGTAGAGGCCTTAGCAATTAACTAGAATGCGGTTTTCGGGGCCCACTATACTATAACTTTGCTAAGGAACCCACAAAATAGTATTGGTGAACATTTAGGCTTCTATGCTCAACTTAAGCCCCTAGCCCAAGCTAAGACGAGGCGCTATGGAGTGAGAGTCGATGCTTTCTGAACCCTAAGCAGTGGCGGTCTGAATACTTGAGAACAGTACCCCCTTAGCCTTCTAAAACCTGTACTATATATACACCCAAGGCCCTGTTCCACTCATCAAAGCCAATCTTCAGGGCAATGAATAAGGGTGGCATACCATTTTGGAGACCCTACTGTAGAGAACAGTAACTACCCACATACAGGGTTTAGAAGGGCTGAGGCCAAGACACCCGAAGCACGCACCCACCAGAGCTGCTGCTTCGAGTTGACTTAGGGCTCGGCTGGTTCAGAGGTTCAGGGGTCTTGGGGTTAGGGTTTTGGGGATCCGAGAGTTCAGGGAGTATAGCACTTTCCAGGGTTTAGGGTTTAGGGTTATCATTCGGCAAGATATTCGCGGAAACGCTGTTGATACACGCTACAGTAAGCCCTTGACTCGCCTCAATCCGACACTGCTGCTGGCTGAGTTAGATCCAAAACCCTAAACCCTAGCCCCGAACCCTTGGACTCTTTGGATTTTGAAGATTTAGGCACTGATTCACTGAGAACTCTTTCCGGTTCCTGGCAGGTTACGGAGCTTGGGTTTTAGGCGTGGGGTCCGAAGCTCAGGGCTTTTACGTGCAGGGTTTGGGGTGTTCCAAGTTAGCGGTTTTAGTGCTTTTGGGTTCAGGGTTTAGGATATAGGTTGTTTGTGAAGTCATGTTTCAGAGTGCATCAGTACCAGTAGCATGTCAGAGGGTATAAGTATCTAAAAGAATTAATGGTGTGTTGACTATTGCGATTGCAGGATCTCGTCCATCAGCTGCTATAGCTTCCATGCCGAAATCCTAAACATTGCAGCAAGTCATGGATCTGACGCAAGGCCACCACACCACAAAACAAAGGCGCCTCTCAGCAGTTGAGGGAGCAGTCGGAGACCCGAATCCCCGAGCACTCCATGCAAAGGCTCCAAACGCTGGAAGGCCTTTTGTAGAGCTTCAAACTCAAAAATATACTTGGAGGCCCATGGCAAGTCCCTAATGTGGGTGATAGCTTTTGCATAGTTGCGCTTCAAGGCGGCTGAAGCCTTTGAGCATGGCACTTTCAACTACCAAAGGGTTTAGGGTTTCCCCAAAGCTATAACTTGCGATGGTGTTCCCAGGAATTCCTACTGGAGTGTGGTTTAGTGTTACAGTATAGGGTTCAGGATTGGTTTGAGTTTCGTGGGTTCGCCGCAAGTAAAGAAAGCCTATTCCATGTGATCGTAAGCTTGGACCTTCGGTCTCAAAACCTCGAAGCTTAAATCCTTTAAACTCTAAACCCCCGAACCCTAAAGCCCTAGACCCTATACCTTAAATCCCTAACCCCGAAGCCCTAACCCCCCGACCCCCGTAACTCCTAAACACCGGAGTCGCTTATCTCTCGGAGGAGTTGCGAACTCTGAACAACGATGTCGGGAAACTTTGTCATGGCGGCTCGTCGTGAAAGTACTGGCCTATAGGGTTTAGGGTTTGCAGTTTGGTAGCAGGGTTTAGGGGTTAGAGGGTTTGTGGTTTAGGAGTTAGGGTTTGGGGTTTCGGGTTGGTGGTTTAGGAGTTAGGATTGGGCCAAACTGTGTACGGGTTGGTGAAGGAATCGTTCCAGCGCATATTGTCAGATATACTTGCTCGACAATTCCCGAAGACCCTCTTCCGATTGTGCGCTCGATATTATGTTCATCAGGTGCAGCCAGAAGGAATGTTTGAGCTATGAGAGAGAGAGAGAGAGAGAGAGAGAGAGAGAGAGAGAGAGAGAGAGAGAGAGAGAGCGAGCAGTTCTACTGTACTTCTTGGTGCCTGGTACGGGTGACTCAGGGCATTCCAGAATTCAACCGATCCTGAGCCCCAAATGCACCACAACCCTTCCACGCAACTCCCTGCGCTTCCGTAGCCAGTGCGTATTCTTGCAGAAGCTGCGACTTCGAGACTAAACTTGGGGTTTAGGCAATAACTGAGCCCAGAAGACCCTTGTAGGCACTCGTATGTCTAGAAGCTCGTCAAACACAAGGAGGTTTGCAGCACGACAGATCCCCCAAAGCCCTACAGCTCGATTTGCTGATCCCGACACTCGTCAGAACTTGATGCCGAATGCCCCAAAACCATAAAGCCCCAAGTCCCCAACCACCCGAACTCCCCAGACCCCTAGACTCGAAACCTTAAACCCTGCCTTCTGCAATGCAGATTCCAGACACCTAGCCAGGCAGACGGAAAAAGGCGTTCAAAAAAAAAACTCGAAACCTTAAACCCTAACTCGAAGCCCTAAATCCCTAAACTCGAAACCTTAAACCCTAAACTCGAAACCTTAGACCCTAAATTCGAAACCCCAAATCCCTAAACCTAAGCTGCAGGTTGGCAGGATGCCGTGACAGGAGACCGTCACCTGGCGAGCAACTTCTGGTATGTGGGTGGTTGTCAAAATTATGGTCCCTTTTAGGGTTTAGGGTTTAGGGTTGTCAAAATTGGGACCTCAAATATTAGGTGCCGTACTATAATAGGGACCCAAAAAGGGACCATAATTTTGACAACCAACCATGTGAGTAGTTCTCTGAACCCCGAAGACGGCAGCACCCTTGCAAAACGGCCCATAAAGTTAGAGAGTTAGAGAACTACTCAGGTATGTATGCATGTCTGCATGCATGTTTGAGGGCGTTCCGGTTTGCTTTTTGGCATTTGGGGTTGGTAGGTTGGTTTGTGCCACTGCTTCTGGGAAATATGTAGGGTTTGAAATTTAGTTCGTACATCTGCAAAATTAAGTTATCATGAGGATTGGGATTTTGGGGCTTAAGGGCCATCCGTAGTTTGGTGAAGCCGCCATACTCACCAGCCTTCTCCCTTTGTAGTCAGTACCAGTTCAAATTTGGCTACATCGCCCTGAGGTCTAAACAGAGGTCTTGAAAGCCTGACGAGGAAGCCAGTGCGCATGTGGATTGCTGACGATATACCTGAGTTCCGAAACCCAAACTCACAAAGCTAATGCATAAACCCTACACCTCAAAATCCCACAGCATATGCACCCTGGAATCTATATCTAGATCCTAAACTCCAAACTCCTAGAGCTTGGCGACCCTAGAAGAAACCGAACCCTACACCTTAAACCCATAAACCTGTCAAATCCTCCAGCCCATAGACCCTAAGCCTTGCAGCGTTCAGAGTTTGTGGGCCCTAAACCCTAAACCCTAAACCCTCTAGAGTTGTTGGGCGCCAGACGAGGAATCCTACCGAGCGATTTGAACCTCTATCAGCGCCTTTTCTTGCAAGCTTCCTGTGTTTGGCTTCACGGAATTTAGGTTTAGGGTTTAGGGTGTTTGGACTCAGGGAATGTGGGTTTAGGGTTTAGGATTCAGGGAATTTGGATGTACGGGCTAAGCTTAGGGTCTACCTTAACCCCAAATAACCTACCTTTTCAAGGACTTCTATAAAGAACTCATATTAGGGAACCCTAAAAAGGTAGGTTGTTTGAAAATTTGGGGTCCAGGTAGTGGCTAGTGGAGCGGTTTTGGGACTTGTGGGTTCAGGGTTTATCTCTCGATATGAAGACACTTCAAGGCTTTGAGGTCTTGGGCCGCCCTCCCTGGTTTCCGCGTAACATGGCGGCGTTAAAAATTCGAATAGGGTTGAAAGGCCCATTCTGCTATGCTTATATCAGTATACTCATAACAAGGAACCCTGAAAAGAGTATAGTTAATTATGGAGGCTCCCATATTAACGGGTTGGGTCTACTCTCAACCCTGGACCCCGAACCTTTATCCTTGTCCAGGCCTCCGAGTGGGCCGTTTTTCCCTTTTTAGTCCCAGGTTCCTTATAACGTTACCCAATACCAAAAAGGGAGCCCTTTTCATTCCTAGGTTACCGGGCATCCTAGCTGTATCCCAGTGGAGCCGACATTATCCTGAAGCCCAGCATCCCCAGACCTCGCAACTACCGTTTGAGATATTAATATGAGAGCTTCCGAAAATTGGGGGGCTACCTTATTTGGGATTCTTAGACTATGGATCCTACCATTGTAGGGTACTATATTTTGGTCCCCTAGTTTCGGAAACTGCCACATACTATACCCGAACTACCCCACTATTCAGCGGCCACAGGGGCTCTATGAAAGGGCCCTTCTTGGGGGGTTGCTGGTCCTTCTCTCTAAGGGTAAAAGGAGGGACCCTTAATGAGGACCCCTAGGTATATACCCTTAATATAGCCATTATATACCCTTTATACTGCCCATTATAGGGTAGGGGTCCCCAGTAAGGGCCCCTCCTTTTCCCCTTTGATTCTCAGGTTTAGCTACCACTACATCCTGCCGAAGACTGCCCCGAAAGAAGGCATTCGACTTCGGATTCCCTGGGGAGAAGGCCCCTGGGCAGATGCGGAAACTATAGGGACCTTATCATAATTAGAAGAGGGTGCCTTTAAAGGGGCACTATAAGGGCTGCTAGAAGGGCTGTTATAAGGATATAGTTTTGCGACCTTAATAATTCGAGAAGGGTTTTGGGTTCCTCATTATAACTATATCATAACATACCCCCAAACCCTATTCTAATTATTGAGGCCCCTACATTATCTTTCGGTGTCGCTGGTTGGTTTAGGGTGAAGTAATGTTAATAGGGTTTCCTTATCAGGGACTAGTTGATGTTCGTGGGTAGTATAAGAGGGGTAGTACTATCGAAACGAGCCTTCTCGAACCTGCAGGACACGCACAGAATTGCATTGTTCATACGGTCCAATGATGAGAAATGAAGGTTCACGGGTAGGTCGAAGCAGAGCTTGAAGCATCTTCGATGCAGTTTTGAACACGGCCAGCTTCAATGACAGCTACTTCACCTTGTGACAGTACTTGCTAAGTCCCCAGATCCTTTCAATAGCCTGCTTGTCCTCAGCAAGCCGAACCGCCCCGGCATCACGCGCAAGGCAAGGGCAACGGAGAAATCCCCTTGCCTGGACAGGAGGCCGATCTCACGGGAAGCACGGTGGTGGCCTAGTTGGGGTTAGGATTGCAGGGTTGAGGGCTTGAGAGTTTGGGGCTTAGCTGTTAAGCTGTAACTTATTCGGTTTTGGGGGTTTAGAAACGGGATCTGGGAGTTTGTGGACAACAGCAACGACTGACGACGGCGACGACGACGAGTACCACCGCCAGCACCAGCACCAGCATGACCACCCGCTCTACCACCAGCCCCAGCAGCAGCACCACGACCACTATCAGCACCAGCCCTTCCGCCATCAAGAAGACGACGGCCCAACACTCCAACAACAGAAGACGGTGCAGCTGCGGCCCGTTATAAAGTGTAAACCCGAGAGCACCCCTTCAACCGTGAAACCATGAACTACAGATGCAGATGCCCTGGAAGAGACCCTGTTTTGCTAAGCCTTCAGGTGCAGCAGGTGGCTGCGCAGTACGCGCTTCCCAAAGCTCCCTGGCTGCGAAGCTGTGCCTCTCAAGGGACACGAGGCTCAGCCCTAAATCCTAAAACCCTAAACCCTATGTAGATTTGTTCAGCCGTCCTTACACGCCAATATGCCCTGAGAAGCAGACAACCCAGGACCTTCTTGTAAGAAGCTTCCCGACTCCTGGCCTACCCAAAGAAACGGCAGAATCCGATAGATGCTCTCCTAAACCATACGGTTGATGATATAAATCCTGCATGACCCATAATAAGGAATATACCATAATTCCCATGGTTTAGGGTCCTTAAGGTAATGCAGGATTTATATCATCAACAGTAATTCCATACCTAGGAAGTTGGAATCATCCCTCGATGCAGCCTGACTGTAAGGCTTCCGGCACAGTGCTGCGTGCCGACTTGCACACAGACGCCGATGGGGAGGTAGGGTTTAGGGTTTAGGGTGGAATCCTCCTTTTTTTTGGTTTTGGTTTAATACAGGTTTGGGGGCTTGTACGTAGGTGTTGTCAGAACCCAATGTTTAGGGCTCAGGACTTCGCCGTTTTTGGGGTTTGTGGAGTCGGGGTTCAGAGGCTTGCTGTTGTTTGTGCCAGTATATTATAACATTCCACGGTATAGTACAGTACAGTATAGTACCTTCTATTATTATGGTGACGGGTGACGAGAACAGCGGGTTTGAATGCCCCATGCTGAATCAGAGGGCATTCGAGGCAAGCGTTCGCTGTCCTGCTTGTGGCCAGTCTTTGAGCTTGTGCTGCTGCTTCTTTTTTTGCCCCGGTGCGATACTACTTGGAGGATCATGGGACTAAATAAGTACCTTAATTGGGGTTATAAGTATAGTTACCTTAAGAATAACTAATGACTAAGTCCCATGATCCTTTGAGTAACCGCGGAGCCTCAATCCCGACTCCTGAACTCCCACCCTGAGCGAGAAGTCCCTGCAGCGCCAATAGGAGAAGAGGCCGGAGGCTCTGATGTTGAAGGCTTTCATGGAGTTGGGTTTAGGGTTTAGGGTTTAGGGTGTAGGGTTTAGGGTTGATCTAGCTTACGTGTCGAACCGTTATGGTTTCAAGAAGGGGATGCTCCTGCTGACCCTCTTGCCCTTTGGGCTCCGGCAGTGTGCAGTGGAACGAGTTGGTGGAGAACTTCGACAATTCCCCAGCACCCTCAACCCTAAACCCTAAACCCAGGCCCAAGTCCTGAACTCTGAAACCCGACAGGTCCTGGACGTCTTTGTGGAGATGCGTCCTGGCTGCCTCACGATCTCTGACATTCTTTAAGGTCTACGTTGTGGGGTTGGGAGACTGGGTTCCTGAGTAGTACCCTTTGGCCATTTTGATTGTATGGTTGCCTAGTCAAAACTGTATGGGTGGTTGTCAACATTAGGGTTCCTTTTTGGGTATCCTAAATACTAGGTACCGTAGTATACTAAGCACCCAAAAAGGGACCATAATTTTGACAACTACCCGAATAACAGGAGCAAGGTTACCCTTCTCATTTAGGGGGCCGGAACCTATGAGATGAACTCTATACCCCCAACAGCCTCCCGAAACTCTTACCAAGCTGATCGCCTATACTCTGAGCCCCGCCGGGACCAGACTCTCGAATGCATCCTTGAGAAAAGAAGAATTCCTCAAGGCCCAGGGTGCTGAGTCTTAGGTTCTGGTATCCAGCAGAGAGCCAGCCGAAGCCGAAAGCTGAATCTAAACACTAAAGCTTGAAGTCACGAAGCTCTGCAAGCCACACCCTCCTCAAGTCAAGACGCTACACCCCAAAGCCTCAACACCCTGAGGGTGAGGATGCAGGCTTGAGGGTTTAGGGTTCTACATCCCCAATACCCACACCTAACCGCGAATCCCTGAACATGTCGGTGTTGGCGCTCCTGTCCAAAAGTTCGTGGTGACCATGTGACAGGTTAGCAGCACCTTCAATCTCAGTTCTCTGGTGAGAAAACATGTTGCTTTTGTTTGTGAGGCTCGGGGCACGGGTGATACGGTTGATAATATAAATCCTGCATTACCCATGATAAGGAATATGCCTTGATTCCCATAGTTTAGGGCCTTTAAGGTAATGCAGGATTTATATCATCAACCGTAGTACCTTTAGTCTAAAAGATAGAAATTGGATAATTTCAAGCTCGAAAAGTTTCGTAGCTGGGGGTGTGTCGGAGCCCCGAAACTCCCGACTGTGACGGAATTGAAATCCCGAGTGCACCCTAAACCCTAAACCCTAAACCAAGGCGTTCAAAAAAAAGCCCTAAACCGTGAGTGCAGGCATCAGGGGCGCTTCACTGTCGCTGACGCCGACTTGACATTGTCTGGCTCTGCTTGGGCAGCGCCGCCCTTGCAAGTCTTCCGGCCGCCATTTGCGGACACCTGCTTAAAGGATCATGGGACGTAGTAATTACGGTTATTATTCAGGTAACTATACTTATATCCCCAATTAAGGTACTTATAACCATACTTACTAAGTCCCATGATCCTCCAAGTGATTCTCCGTCGTCCGTCGCCATCGTCGCGTGCGTAGCAGAGTCAGCTGCAGCAGAGCCCGAAGCCACTAAACTCCCGAAGGCCAATGCCCAGATCCGTCCAATCAAGGTCCTCTGCCAAACCAGCATCAGCTACAAAGAGCTCCTCTCTTCCGCTCCTTGCGTGTCTCAGCTCGAATCGGCTCGGTTTAGGAATGATATAATAGAGCATCGTATGATGTAGCACAGAAGATTGAACAAAATGACACGGATTTTCTGCTGCAATTACTTGCCTAGCATACGAAAGTTTGGTGATATAGAGTCTATTCGCAGGATTTGGGTTTGGTCTTTGCATGAGCCCACCCTCGACTGCGAAGGGTTTGATGGAAATATCAGGCTTTTCGAGCTTAGGGCGCTCAACCCTAAACTCCCAAAGCCCTAAGTTTTTTTTTTCAATTGTCGAGGCCTATAATCCCCCACACCTGGCACCAGAGGTGGCAGAGTGGTACTGCAGCCACTGGTGGGGAGAGCCCATCTTTAGCGGCACGGCTGCAGACGGGATCTGGGCTTACGAACTGCAGACCAATTATGCTCCTTATAGTATAAGATACCCCAAACCCTACTCAATTATGCTTCTGATAGTATAGGAGACCCCAAGCCCTACTCCGAGTCTTCAGGCCCCTATGATATCCTACGGTTGATGACATAAATCCTGCATTACCCATAAGAAGGAATATACCATAATTTCCATAGCTTAGGGTCCTTAAGGTCATGCAGGATATATATATATATATATATATTTATAGATATATATATATATATATATCATCAACAGTAGTTTCTGCCTAAGCAGGATCTGATTGCAAGCTACCCTTTTGCTTGGGCTTGGGCTCGCTGAAAAGGATTGAAGGTTTGGGAGGCAAGGGTAGTGAGTGGTTGTCGTTCCTGCACCTTCCTAACCTCCCTAGCCCTGCAAACAGAATCAATTCTCAACCATAACTCAAGCCCTAAGCTGCACAGGCTCTAAAGGAAGCGAGGTAAATGCCCTCAATCCTCGACCATAACTCAAGCCCTAAGCCGCACAGGCTCTAAAGGAAGGAGAGGTAAATGCCACAGGGACCATCTCGTGGCTGTGGCCCCCGCGCCCCACTGGCCAACACATGAACTCCGCCCTCACGAGGCTTCGTCCGCTGCTGTCAGCACCAGGCCAATGTGCGACACCTCAGCGATCAAAACGCCAGGCGGGAGGAGCTTAGGGTTCTTCGTTGAGAGCTTAAAACCCAAAGGGTCCAAAGTACCTATATAGTAGAATGTAGAGTTTTTACATCAGGAGTTGCTATTATGAGGACTTCCCAATGTTCAGCGCTTGAGGATTCAGGAAAGTGTATTTAGCAACAGCTGGAGGGTTCGAAACTTGAGGGACTCGGAGAATACAGGCATCTTCACTCGTAGAGTGGGGTGTATTGAGGCACATAGCTAGCAGCATGATCCACTGCTACTGCTTGTGTCTATATATTAGAAGAGGCCCCTACCCTGTAATAGTGGTATAATAGGAATACAATAGGGCCCCAGTATAATCCTTCTAGTCACTATTACAGGGGGCAGCTTCTAATCTCTATAATACAGCCGACCCAGGGGCTTCACCCTGATTTGTTCCAGGTGCAGTGGTAAGGGCTCACTGATCGCGGCTTAAATTACATGGGTAGTTGTCAAAAATATGGCCCCTTCTTGGGCACCCTAAATATTAGGTGCCGTATTATACTAAGGACCCAAAAAGGGACCATACTTTTGACAACCACCCACATGGATTATAGGGCTCAGTAGTCGGGTTCGATCTTTATATTACAGCAGAGTAGTTCAACAACTGAGTTCACCACCGATGCGGTGGATGCTTTCTTGGTATCGCTGCTTTGCTGACATGCCTCAAACTCTAGACCAGGGGCCCATAGTAGTTTCTTTTTGGGTTACCTTATAGGTTTCTAAATATGAACCTCCCAAAGCAACTACTATTGGTAAACCCTAAACCCTAAACCCCTAAACCCCTAAACCCTGAGCCCCCAAACCCCTAAACCCCTAAACCCTGAGCCCCCAAACCCCTAAACCCCTAAACTCCAAACCCCTGAACCCCTAAACCCTAAACCCCTAAACTCGTAAACCACGCGCAGATACTGGGTGTGTGGCTATGCGAACCGGCAACATGAGCTCGAGCTGGAGATAACGGAAGATGTCACGCAGCTGGGCGGCTGGGTTTTAGGGGTTTCTTAGGGGTACTTAGAAATACTTATTAGTTTTTGGTTATTACAATCCCTAAGACCCAAGAAACAGCTAAAATTGTAATTTTTGCTAGGGTTCTAAGCCCAGTATAGGCTTATTTGGGCGGTTTTGCAGGGACTCAGTAGCTGCGTGAATACACTTTACACTTTTTGGGATAAGATTACCCACTATAAAACTGAAAGTGTACACTTTGTGGGGGGGGCTTATGAACTGAGCAACTAAGGGGGAGCTCTTAAGGTTTGTAGAAGTGATGTATGGAGGTTTGGTAACTTAGTGTAAGGGCTCTAAAATAGTTTTCTTTTTTTTTTTTTTCCGGTGTTTGGGGGTTGCGGATGTTGGAGTTCCACAACCTTAACCCACCAAACCCTACCTTTTTTGTAGGTTCTTATTGCAAAGCCTAATATGGAATTTATAGGGACGCTGCAAAAAAGGTAGGGTTTTGTAGCTTAAGGGAGGGCATGCTTCAGGGGTTGCTCGACCTCTGCTTGGTTCCAGTGGCCGGCTTTTGCAATAATTAGCAGCACTACTTGGAGGTTCATGGCTAGTTATAAGTAGGGTTCTAAGTAGTTTAACTGCACTTATAACCCATATTAGGGGACTTATAACCCCACTTATAAGTAGCCATGAACCTCCAAGTCATTATTGTTGACAATTTTGGAAGAAGCTGCCCCCAAATCGTACCCTCAAGCCCAAAGTGGAGAACCTTTGGCCCTGAGCTGATCTTGGCCGAAATCCCAATTCTCAAGACAGTCGCCCTAAACCCTAAACCCAAATCCCGACTCTCAAGGCAGTCGTCTTTCTTCAGTGCATTGCGCAAGTCCAATGGCTTGCTCCTCATCCTCGACCAGGTCAGAACGTTTAAGGGTTCCTTTAAGGGTTCCTCTAAGGTTTCCATAAAGATTATCATAAGGGATCTAATGCCACGAGAAAGACAGAAAGAGCAGATCCAATCTTTGGGATATGACAATCACTGAGTCACTGTGGGACAGATTCCGGAAACCTTACTCATGAGATGGGGCACTGCCGTTCCGGTGCTCATGCTGCAAGTGTGCCGTGCCCTGTCAGTCCCCGATAAGACCATCCTCTTGAAGTCAACATCCACCCTACTTGGAGGTTCGTTTCCCCTAGTACAGGCCAGAACTATAGTTGACCTGATGACCCTACTTACAACTGTCCATGCACCTCCAAGGGCTAGGCCTGGTTCCGGCTTGAGGCTACTCCCATACTGGACAATGCGATACTATACTACATAAACCTATATAGTATTCGTATTACACTAAACTAAACCAGACTAGACCCTACAATACCCTACAATACCATACTCTACCATACTCTGCCATAGGAAAAACCATACTAGAGTACACTACATTATACTGAGCCATACCACACCATATTACTCTACTCTTCTATACTAATTATACGATAACAACCAAAATTGAACGGCTACTGCGACTACTAATAACTCTACTATCCTAATATACTGGTCGCACAGTCGACTGGTGATTCTGTAGGCTCCAAACGGTCCGAGCTGGAGGCGTGTGTTCCATTGGTCCATGAACCTAGGCCCAGGCAAACACCACGGCTTCAACAACAAAGTGCCTTTGTCTCAAGCCCTATAAAGAGCCTGTAAATGTTAGACCCTATAGGCTCTCAAACCCTATAAAAAGCCTATAGATGTTAGACCTAGGCTCTCAACCTTGACTTGTCAGCAGCAACGTTTACGCCGCCAGGATGCGACGCCTTTCTCGAGGAGAGTCGGCTTAGCCAGGGGCTTTACGGAAGGTACGGGATCAAAGTCGTATCGGTTTAGGCTTTAGGGTTTAGGGTTTAGTTTAGGGTTGTAAAACTGCCGGGGTTCAGGGTTTAAGTTTAAGGATTTAGGGTTCAGGGTTTAAGTTTAAGGATATAGGGTTCAGGGTTTAAGTTTAAGGATATAGGGTTCAGGGTTTAAGTTTAAGGATTATAGTCGCGTAAAAGGTTTTGGGGCGCAGGGTTTGCGAATGGGGGTTGTCTGAGGCTCCCTAAGGTAAGAATCCCATATTCAGGACCGCGACTACAGTGATACATATCTTGAGCAGTACTCCTTTGGTAAGGGACGTCTTTGGATCTATCTAGAAAGTCAGGGATTGAGTGTAGGATTTTAGCATAGATGTGTCCAGGGTTCATGAGTCCTGTTGCAAGCCCTTAGCGCCTGATACCAACACTCTAGCAGGAACATAAAAAAGCCATGTAAAACCAAACCCCTTTGCGGCCGATTCTTGGAAACGTCGAAATTTTCGGGCTTCAGGTTTAGGGATAAATAGGGCTTCCACATTCTAGGGTTGAGGATTTTGCGTGTGTGTTTGCCAGAGTTTGGGGAGCCTGCTGGGGGGGTTTAACAGGGACCCAGGCTTGGAGACACGGGCTTACTCTTCGGGTGTAGGGCTGCCTCAGGTCGTTTAGGGAGCTACGGCTTTAAGACATGACAACTTTAGGATGAGGATGTTTAGTACGGCTTTAAGAATCTACAACTTTTGGATTTTTAGCTTAAAAAAGGTCCTGCAATGCGAAGCGCAGCCGTGAGGATTTGGTGCGACTTCGAGCTCTACACCGCCATCATGGCATCTCGGCTCCTATAAAGGAATCCTTCGAGGCTTCCTGTAAGCCTAGTAGTAGAGTAGGGACCCTTTAACCTTTAGGGGTGTCCCTTAATATAATCCCTATAACCCTAAACCCTAAACCCTAAACCCTAATCCCTATATATATATATATATATATATATATCCAAAAGGGGTTGACCTTTAGTTCCCCATGATACCCGAGAAGTAGGTAAAGGCCGCAAGACAAACAGTGTTTAGGGGTTTATACGCAGGGGGTTTAAGTTCATGGTTTATGACCGGGGTTCGAACCCTGGATGGAGCTTTGGGGTTTAGTACCTCAGCCCCCGTTTAGTAAATTTAGCATAATCTCCTAGCGACCATGAGGAAAATTATCACTCATGTTCAGACCCCTATAGAAATCTTGTGACCCTTACCCTGAACAACAATGTCGCAGAAAGACTGTCCCCAAAGATTACTGAAGCCGAATAAAATGAAGCCTAAGTCCTCAGCCCTTTGCCCTGAATCTGACCCTCAGCCACGAGCCCTGAACGTAGAAGAAGTCTGACAGCAAAAGAAGCTAGGCGCAACAACAGGCAATTATCAGTCAAGTAGAAGCTTGCATGATTAAGGTCCTGACTTGGTGGCGGCACACCCAACAAGCAAACCCCAGCTGCCCATAATTCGGAAGGAGTTGTGCGCGACAAGCACGTGGCGGCTCAAGGGCTATCAAGTGTTGAAGGCATACACAAAAAAGCTGGATACAAGCGATATCCGCATCAAGGGGGACTTGCAGGGCCATGAGTAGTTGCAACTGGGATTCTCAGAGAGGTACTTCTAGTTTTCCGCACATAAAACCCCAACGCGCTTTCAACCCTTCGTGCCTGAAATCTGACCTTCAGCAGCCCGAGAGTCTTCAGCTCGTGAATTCAGCAGTTGATGACGCACTACCAGACCTTCCCTCCTACATGATCGAATCGGGTGATGCGTCCCACGAGCTGTGGCCTGATATCAGCTGGACCCCGCGACCTTCTGACGAGGATGAGGATGCAATCAACAGTTGTTCCAGGCTCTGGCCCGAGATTGCTTGGACGCCCCGTGCTTCAACTGGCATCAAAGCACAAGACCTCTTCTGCACGGAAAATCAACCAAACACCGCAACTCAAACTAAAGATGCAGCACAACTCTGGCCAGACGTTGGCGGCGATGTCAGGGCTACACTTGACGGTGACAGCGATGGAGCATCAGTGTGCCCTTGGCCGAGCATTGCTTCGACACCAAGGTCTTCAGATAGCCATGGCAAAGCTCAATTTGACACTGAGGGCATTCGGTGGTCTCCTTTGCAGCTGGAGATGTCGGAAGGCTGCGGCGAGTTCCGAAACTGTCGGGTAAAGGATCCTCGGGATCGGGAGTCATCGGGTTGAAGGATGCGAAACCCTAAACTCCAAACCCGTCTGAGCTCTAGCTACCTGCAACCCAATTACGCGCAAATTCTGATCCTGGTTTTGAGGTTTGTTGGCCATGGTAGCGATGAGGGGACTAATCGCATTAGTCTGCTGTGCTCCAGGAGGAGATGATGATAGTGGGGGTAATGATGGGGTGATGTCGTCGCGATTCGTAATCGCAGCTTTCTCGATGTTAGACGACAGTCTAGGAGTAGTTGTGTGGGAACAATCGTTAGTAGCTCTAAGCTCGCCCTCAGCCGAAGCGCCAGGTTTGAAAGCTTCCACCTGTGCGAGGGGTTACTTTGCCTTCGGGGTCTTCGTCGGCATCGCCTGGAGTGTCGTGGCCGCCTTCGTGATCGTCGTCCTCCCCATCGCAGTGTTGTGGGAAGTGTCGTGGGGCTTCATCATGGTTGCATGTTACTTCATGCTTGGTAGGCAGGTCCCTCAGAAAGCCAGCCGCGAACCATCCGCTGCTACTGTTGAGAAGGCTCATGAACCGCATGGGATCGTCGCAGCCATACGTCCTCTTCAGCTCGTGAATTCAGCAGTTCATGACGCACTACCAGACCTTCCCTCCTACATGATCGAATCGGGTGATGCGTCCCACGAGCTGTGGCCTGATATCAGCTGGACCCCGCGACCTTCTGACGAGGATGCAATCAGCAGCTTTTCCAGGCTCTGGCCCGAGATTGCTTGGACGCCCCGTGCTTCGCCTGGCATCGAAGCACAAAACCTCTTCTGCTCTGGAAACGAAGCAAGCACAACGACTTAAACTGAAGATGCAGTACAACTCTGGCCAGACGTGGACTGGCCACCACGTTCTGTTCAGGATGATGTCGCGGCCGCACTTGACAGTGACTCTCTGTGGCCCAGCATGGACTGGTCTCCGCGTTCAGAGCATGATAACTCTGAAGGCCGTGGTGGCGTGTTGCGAAAACGTGCGGGAAAGGGGTTCCGCAAACTGTGCCTGAAGGGTAATCCTGGAGTCTTTGGGTCTTCGACCCCTGGATCTTTGTCCTAAGCCTAAGCCAAGCCCTAAACCCCGAAACCGTTAACCTACCCCCCTACAAAAAAGCAACAACCAAACGAACAGGCAACACAGCCCCAACCCTTGGTCCCGAAACCTTGAAACTCCGGAGGCTCCGGTGAAAGAGCATTCCTCTAAATCACGCAGAGACCTATGGAACGATACAGAGAAGATTAGCCTGGCCTCTTCGCAAGGATGACATGCGCACATTGGGAGGTGCACGCCAAACAAAAAAGCAAGCCCTGTAGTCGGTAGACCCAGCACCTAGGCGCTTGAAACTTAAACCCTAAAAACCCTTATATACGGGCCTGAGAGTCTGCCGTCGGAAAAAGGTGCTCGGAGCCTTTTATAGCAGGCCTTGCAGGAGCTTGTTTGAAGGAAGCCTTAAAAGAACCCTTAAATGAGCTCTTTAAAGGAACCCTATAAAGGAACCGTTACAGGAGCCCTGTCAAGGGACCCGTACGTGCTCAGGATCCCAGCATGGGTCTGGACATCGTGACCACGGTGCCTGGCACCCGCGGCGCTGGACCAGATAGAGGCCCGTGGAATCTTCTTAACTGGGGGAGAACAAGAATAGCAACAATAATATGATTGCCGCTACTGATACGAACAATGACCCAAAATGATAATAGAGTACTCGTGAAAATAGTATTTAACACAAAAATGATATAAATAATCACAACGACAATGCTAATAGCAATTGTTATGGGGTCCTCATCAAGAACCCAGAGAAGGACAGCACCTAGAACAAGCGGAATGGGGAGCATGGAATGTAAAGCCGGGGGGGTTATCGTGGGCTCCAGATTCATGAGCTGCATGGGCTCGGGCAAGCTTCAGTTGTAACGCGAACGAACAGGCAGCCGGTGGGGGTTGTAGCACAGTACACATCATCATGCATGGTTAATTGAAAAAAAAGCCTGGTTTGCAAGAACTCTGGCATGCACCAAAGCCGTGTCCCTGTAGGAAGAGCACGAGTCATTGGCATGTTTGGGTTTACTGCAGTATTGCCGCTAGTACTGCTGCTTCCGCTTCCACTTCCGCTTCTGCTTCTGCTCCTGCGCTGCTACTGCTACTGCTTCCGCTGCTGCTGCCTTTCAGCTACGGCGACGGCGACGGCCACGGCTACGGCTGCTGCTGCTGCTGCTGCTGCTGCTGCTGCTGCTGCTACCGCTACCGCTGTTGCTATCGCCACTGCCGTTGCTACGAGTGCGACGACGACTATACTGTTCCACTACAACAAAACCTCCAGCCTCATTGACCATGAAAGCAAAAGTAGATCCATGACATCAACCACAATACCGTCCCCTAAGCTCTGAAACTTAAAGGCAGACCAGGTAAACCCCTAAAGATCCCTCATGTTACCCGTCATCGAACCCGTCTAGAGCCCTTGTGGTACCCGCCTGGGAACCTTGATCGAGACCTAAACCCTGAAAACCACCACAGTCCCGAGCGATCCTATGCCCTAAACCCCCAAAGCCCGAACCCCTTGACTCTGAACTCTAAACCCCCCAAACCTAAACCCCTCAGCCCCCAGATCCCTGAACCCAGTGCCTATGCTCCCGTGAGGTGGCGAGGGGCAAGTCCGACTGTTGAGCCCTTGCGGCTGCATCTTCCAGAGGGGTTCTGCACGGGGCCACGAGGATCCTATAAGGCTATACGCGTTGGTTCTATAAGAACGGAGGGTTCAGGATTTTAGGTGGGTTCAGGCTTTGTTTTCTGGCTTTGCTACTAAGGTTGCAAGTCGGGAGGTCAGTTGTTTCTTCAGATGAACGGCTGATCAACGCAGATCCAGCTGTAAAGCCCATGCAGACCCTGAACCTAAAGCTTCTAAACTCATATGCTCTTTGCTAAGCCCAAAACCCAAAACCCTAAAGCGCTAAAACCCTAAAACTCTTAACCCTTGAGGAACCCTTACTTAAGGGAGCTAACTTGAAGGAAGCCTTGTAAGGGAAACTCCTAAACCCTAAACCCGAAGAACCCAAGAGCCCGAAGTGTTGAAGGCCTCCGCGCATCCCAAGATGCAGCCGAGGCAAAAATCTCATCCCTGGTGAGTCAGCCGTGGCCAAGTCCGTGCGAGAGCAGAACTTCCCGCTGGCCGGGGCTAGGGTTCAGGGTTCACTTAGTTCTCCAATACCAAACTTTTAAACTTTTGGGGTTCTTATAGTTTAGTAGTCATCTGAAAGTTTAACCTTTTATTTCTGTGGCTATTGGGCTATTGGGGGAGTAAGTTCAGGGTTCAGGGTTCATCGTTTAGGGTTTCAGGGTTAGGGTTAAGGGGGCTTCTAGGGGTTTATAGGGCTTTGGGGTTAGGGGTTTAGTCTTAGGGGTTTAGGGCTTATGGGGTTTATAGGGTTCAGGGTTCAGCGTTTAGGGTTTCAGGGTTGGGGTTTAGGGTTAAGGGTTTAGGGTTCAGGGCCTAGGGTTGAGGGTCTAGTCTAGGCTCTATAGGATTTCACTGAAGCCGAAGCCTGATAATTCTTATTCTGGGACTGTAACTTAAGTCAAATTCCTTAACAAGAAGAACCCAGCGTTCGATCGGATCTTCGACGGTAGGTGAGCATAAAGGGGTTAGGGGTTTAGGGATTCAGGGGTTTAGGGGTTTAGGGTTTACGGTGAATTGACCAGTCGCCCCGAAACCCTCTCACAGTGAGTCCTTTATAGGGTCCTAAAAGGGAGGGTGGTCCAAGGGGGGAGGGTACAAGGGATCCTTAGGGAACCTTCAGGGAGCCTTAGGGAGCACTAGAGAGAACTCGGGATTAGTAGGTTATCTAACCCCCGTAAAACCCCCTCCCATAAGGATACTATGAGCCCTGAACCGCGAACCGAAAGACTCGATCCAATGCTGTTCAGTAACAACTGTCCAAAGCAATCCTACAACAAAGCCTTTACGGCGCCCCACCCTCCAAAACAAAAACAGAAATCCATGTAACAACCCGATGTAATTTGTACATGCAGCGTGGGCCTAATTAGCGACCCAAAGTCCCTAGAGACCTCGGTGCATTTTTGGCTCGCTCGCTAAGAGCCGGCAGGTGATGCTGGATCAGGGCCTTGAGGTGCTGCTGGCGTGGCGGCCGCATTGAGAGTTTGAGGTTCAGGGCTCGGGGGGTTGGGTATTCGGTATTTGATTAGGGTTTCCCTAATAAGTTGGCGGCTATCGCCCGAAAGGTCTTGATCCCAAACCGCCAAGATCCCCCAAGTAGAAAAATCCGACACTTTAGAATTCAGCTGGAAGCAAGGCATGCAAACTGCTAGTTGATGAGGACAGCCCCGATATGATTCAAGATTCAAAAATCCCACTCTACACGTACCAGTCTGCTAGTCCGAGGAAGACGGCGATGCAACGCACTTGGAGGATGCATCCCACCCGTTGCAGGGTTCCAGCCCTACTACATGCAGCAAAAAAAGCTCGACTACTAGAACCTAGAGTAGGAGTAGGCCCTTATTCCCTTTTTTGGGGTTCAGGTTCCCTTATAAGCCCCTTTAAACAAAAAAGGGCACCCTTTTTATTCCTAGGTTACTCTTGGGTCTAGACTAGGTTTCGGCGCGGGGGTTTTGTTACAACCTGCGGCAAACGATCTGACAAAGTGTTGAGCGACCTTTTTGTCCGCCCAAGCCTTGCTTGTAGGGGTTACTTAAAGGCTCATGGGACTTAGTAAGTAAGGTTATAAGTAGGGTATAATTAGGATAACCCCACTTAGGGGACTTATAACCCCAATTATAACCTACTTACTAAGTCCCATGATCCTCTAAGTAAGGATGAGGGTCCTAAACCCTGACCCCTGAAGCCAAGAACCCAAGACCCCAGGTCCAAGCTCTAAGCTTTATTGTGTTTATCAGGCGTGGATGGTCTCTTAAAGGGCAGAACAAGCTGAACACTTCAAACACCAGAGAAGCCACGGGCCAAAAACGCTAACTGTACTATAGGGTTGAGGGTTTTGGAGCCGCCATAGATTTTCGAGGTCCTGGTATACTTCCAAGCGACCTTCACGAGTCTTACGTCTTGAGAGCATTCTGAGCGCCCATCATGAGCAGCCGAAGCACGACAAGCACACACTCCTCAAGTAATCATGTTTAGTTAATACTCATTGACTTATCTTGCTTTACCATACTATTATGCTGCAGGGTTGCTAAACTACGTATTCCCACCAATGTTGCTTTAGATGGAGATGCTGCGGCATTCCCTTGTGTCAGGCTTTTGCATTCCCTACGCCCCGAAGCCAGGACAAGCGCGCGATCCTCCGCAGCATCGCCCGCAGTTCCGAGATCCTCAGCGACGCAGGCCCGGAAAGAAGCATGCAGGGTTTAGGGTTTAGGGTGCAAGGTTGAGGGTTTTGTGTTTTTGGGTTTTCAGGATTCGGGACTACCTTCGTTTGGATCTTATGTAAGCAGGTATCTATACAATAACAATCCTTCTCATGACCCCTGTAACTATTGCCTGCACATTGGTAAAGGCTCCAAGCTCTTACGCCAGACAAACGGATGCAGAGTTTAGGGCGTGGGGCTAAACTCTAAACCAAAAGCCCAACACCCCAAGCCCCTAAACCCTAAACCCTAAGCCCCCAAACTAAGCCCTAAACCCTGAACCCTAAATCCTAAACCCTAAACCCTAAACCCCAAGCCCCTAAACCCACTGCACTTAAAAATAAAAAAAACCTTTGGAAGGAAAGGAGCGCCTGGCTACGAACCTGGCTTGCGCCAACCAAACGCTGCACTCCACCCTGGCAATCCTGACCTGGCCCCAGGTC